CAGTCAAAAGATCACTCAGTCAGTTTCGACAGCCAAACACTAGTGGGACCAATTAGCTCTGACAGGTTAGAAGATAAATCACTTAGTGTTGACAAGTTAGAATATGGACCTATTAGTGTTGAAAAGTTAGAAGATAAGCCTTCTGAAAAGTTACAAGAGGAACCAATTAGTGTTGACAAGCTGGGATGTAAGCCAATTATTACTGCCAAGTTAAAAGATAAACCTATTAGTGCTGACAAGTTAGACAATGAACCAATTAATTCTGACCAGTCAAGTGTGGAAATAATTAGTGCTGACCAATTACAAGAGGGACCAATTAGTGCTGACAAGCTACAAGATGAACCTATTGGTACTGACAAGTTACAACATAAACTGATTAGTTCTGACAAGGTACAAGATAAACTAATTAGTGCTGATAATTTACAAGATGGACTAATTAGTGCTGACAAGTTACAAGAAAGTGGGTCACCTGAAAACTTACAAAAGGAACAAATTAGTGTTGAGAAGCTAGGAGGTGAGCCAATTAGTACTGCCAAGATAGAATATGAGCCAATGAATGTTGATAAGTTAGAAGATGAACCTATTGCTGCTGACAAGTTAGATGATGAACCAATTACTTTTAACCAGTCACACATTGAACCAATTAGTGCTGTTAAACTACAAGATGAACCGAATGCAGATAAGCTACAAGATGAACCAATTAGTATTGACAAGTTAAAAGATGAAATGATTAGTTCTGACAAAGTACACAATGAACCAATTAGTGCCCACATTTTAAAAGAAGAGCTAATTAGTGCTGACAATTTTCAAGATAAACCAGTTAGTGCTGACAAGTTACTAGAAAGTGAGCCACATGAAAATAATACTGGAAAGGTCGAATATAAGTCAATGAGTGTTTACAAGTTAGAAGATAAACCTATTGGTGCTGACAAGTTAGACAGTGAACCAATAAGTTTTAACCAGTCGCATGTTGAACCAATTAGTCCTGACAAGTTACAAGATGAACTGATTAGTTCTGACAAAGTACAAAATGAACCAATTAGTGCTGACAGTTTAAAGGAAGAACTAATTAATGCTGTCTATTTACAAGATAAACCAGTTAATGCTGACAAGTTACAAGAAATTGGGTCTCCTGAAAAGTTACAAGATGGACCAATTAGTGTTGAGAAGCTAGGAGATGAGCCAATTAGTACTGGAAAGTTAGAATATGAACCAATTATTGTTGACAAGTTAGAAGATGAACCTATTAGTGCTGACCAGCCACACATTGAAACAGTTAGTGCTGACAAATTACAAGAGGAATCAATTAGTGCTGACACGCTACAAGGTGAACCAATTAGTACTGACAAGTTACGAGATGAACTGATTAGTTCTGAATTAATTAGTGCTTACGATGTACAAGATGAATTAATTAGAACTGACAATTTACAAGAAAACCCAGTTAGTGCTGACATGTTACAAGAAAAACAAATGACTAGTAACGGCATGCAATGTGATGAACCAGTTAATGCCGATAGCCATTCACAAGATGAGCAAGTTGGTTCTGAAAGCCTATTACAAGGAGAACTGATTAATACACACAATGAACCAGTGTCTACCAGTAAAACCAGTAGTACTAACAGCCAGTCACAAGATCAAACATGCAATGATCGGAAGTCACAAAATAAACCAGATGATACTGACAGTCAGTCTCAAGATGAAGCCATTTGTGCTGACAGGCTATTAAAAGATCAAGCAATTGGTCAATTCCAGGAAGCACAATTTCATACTGATCAAATTTCAAAAGATGTGCCACTTTATACTGACAACCTTTCACAAGATGTTCCACTTAGTACTGACAACCTTACACAAGATGCTCCACATAGTACTGACAGTCTTTCACAAGATGTTCTACTTAGTACTGACAACTTTACACAAGATGCTCCACCTAGTACTGACAATCTTTCACAAGATGCTACACTTAATACTGACAACATTTTACAAGATGCTCCTCTTTGTACTGACAACCATATGCAAGACGTTCCCCATAGTACTAACAACCTTACACAACAAGTTCTACTTAGTACTGATAATCTTACACAAGATGCTCCACTTAGTACTGACAATCTTTCACAAGATGTACCAATGTATACTCCAAAGAAGATTAAGAACCAAATACAAAATCAAACAGTTGATGCTGAGAACAGGTCGCATGTTGAACCAATGAACAATAAGAGCATACAATGTGACAAACCAACCAATGTGGACAGCCAGTCAAATGATGAACCAGTCTGTGCTAACAGCCAATTGTCAATGGTTGAACAAATTAGTGCAGACAAAGTATTTGATGAAGCGATTATTATTGACTGCAAGTCTGTTGACCAACCAATTCAGACTGGAAATGAAGCAACTGATGAGACGGTCATGCCAGAGAATGATCTAGAAACTGATCAAAGAAAATCAAAGGATGAGTTATTAATTTCTGGCAACAAATCACATAATGATCCGATGGATACTGATAGTATACCAATTAATACTTTTAACAAGTCACGCAATGAACAAATTAGTTCTGACAGCCAGTCAAAGGATAACCTAGTTAATGCTGACAACCATGGACATGGTGAACCAATTAGTGCTACAAGCAAATATCCATGTGAATCAATTGTTGCCAACTTTACTCCACAAGACCTACTAATGACTGCTGGTGAACCAGTGAATATGTCCTGTATTAAACCAGTTTGTACTGACATTTCAGATAAAGCGCCAGCCAGTACCATATTGAAATCACAGGATGAAGACAAAGCTTTTCAAGCAACTATCAACACTGGAGAACTATCACATTATGAACTAGTTAATACTGACAGAATAAAAGCACATCATGTGCAGGATGAACCACTTACTATTGATGACTCACTGCATTATCCACCAGTAAATACTGATGACTCACTACAAGGTGCACCAATGAATAATGGTGGCATACCAGAAAATGGACCTGTAAACAGACATGATGCACGACAAGTCGGACCACTCAATACCAATGAATTGATCAATACTAGTCTCTCACCAGATAATGAACAAGTAAGTACTAATGACTTACCATATGATCCACCAGTAAATTCTAGTAACACACCACAAGATTCCTTGGTCAATACTGATAACTCACCAAATGATGGACCAATAGATAATTACCATTCACCACATGTGGAACCATTAAAATCATGGGACAATACTAATGTCTTAAAGCATGATCTAGTCGATACTGACGACTCCCCACATGATCTACTAGTAAGTACTGATGACTTAATACATGATGGACCAATATATACTGATGGCCCACCACAAGATGGAGTAGTGAATACTCATACATCCCCAAGTGATGCAACAGTAAATAGTGACCACACATGGTACGATGGACCTCTTAATACTGTTAATTCATCACATGATGAACCAGTAAATACTAATGTTTTACCACTTGTAAATACAGATTACCCACTAGTCAACTTACCAAATGACCCACTAGTAATTTCTGCCACAACAGAAAAACCTAATGACCAACCACTTAATGTAACAACTGTACATGATTCAGCCATGAGTATTAACAATTCACACCATGATGACACAGTCAATGCTGATGACTCGCAGCAAGTAACTACTGCTAATTCAACTCAAAATGAATCAGTGGATAAGGACAACTTACTACTGAATCAATTAGTCAATGCTGTTGAATTGACACATGATGGACTACAAAATCTTTACAAGTCAAAAAATGAACCAAAGAAGTTTATTGACTCCAAACATAATGTCCCAGTCAATACTGACAGCAGACTACATGATCAACCAGTAACTACTGACAACTTACCACTGGATGCACGTGCAAGTATTGAAACCCCCCTACATGATGGCCCGTTAATTACTGATCAGTCAACAGACAATGAAGTATTGAAGATTGTTGAATCCCAACATGATGTCCCAGTCAATCGTGACAGCAAACCACATGATCACCCACAAGATGCACCTGTAAGTATTGAAAACTCCTCACATGATGATGATGGAAGGTTAGATACTGTCCAGTCAACACAAGATGAATCCCTGATTACTAACAATTTACCATGTGATAGAACAGTAAATTCTGAAGATTCCCTATGTGATGCACCAGCAAACTTTCACAACTCACAACATGATGCAGTAGTCAGTTACAATGATTTTTTACATTGCACACCAATCAATACTGTTGACACTCCACATAATCTACTAATACGCAATGAAGAATCAGCACTTCATCCACTAATAAGTATTGGTGACTCTGGACAAGATTTCTTTGTCAGCACAGATGACTCAAGACCTGATATACCAACCAAAAATATTTATCATTCATTATATAAAAAACCAGTAAATTTTTACAAGTCACACAATGAATCTGTCAATAGCAATCACTTACAACAAATCAGTAATGATAATGCACAAGCCACTGCTGATAAATCCTTGCATGATCCACCAATAAATACTGATGAATCACCACATAGTGGACCAGTAGATACCGACATGGCACCACTTGATGAAACGGTCAATACTAACATATCCCCACATGATCTACCAATACATACTGATGACTCACCACATGGTGGACTAAAAGATATTGACATGGCACCACTTAATGAAACAGTCAATACAGAAAAGTCCCCACATGATCCATCAATAGATACAGATGACTCACCACATGGTGGACCCGTAGATAATTACACGGCACCACTTGATGAAGCAGTCAGTACTGACACGTGTCCACTAGTAAATACTGACGAATTACAAATAAATACTGATTACTCAACACATGATCAAATACTCAATGCAGATAATGTTGATGAAGCTGTCCGTACTGACAACATTCTACAGACTTATCCAATTGACACAGACTATATAAAAATAGGAATCATGTTAACACCTGATGAGCCAGTACTTAAAAACAAGATGTCAGATGAGGATTCTGTCAGAACCAGCAAGGTGTTGTATGATGATCCAGTTAGTAGCCAAGACCCCGTGAACATTGCCAACAGGCAAAATGTTCGAACAACCAGCCACACTGATAATTATCCCTCAGATGATGAACCACTGGATTTATCAATGAAATCTACCAAAATAACCTCCTACAAAGACCCTCCAAATTTACCTCTCATTCCAAAGATCACAACATCTTGTGTTGGAACTATGAATGAAGATATTCCACTAAATGTCAAATTGATGACTCTAAGAAGCAGATCATTTCCAACCATGTCCAACTTTAAACAACCTAAACAAACAGGAAAATATTCTAGACCAACAGCATTTCCAGTAGCACGTGGGATAGAAGACTCGTCAAAATCGGGTTCCACAGAGGTAAATGTGCGGCCCAAGTCAAAAGTTAAAAAAAGGCGAAAGCCTGGCCACGGTATGAATTTCTGGTTTTCAAAACGTGATAAACGTCGGCGAACTAGGTCTGCTGTATCAAATGGATTAGCAACAGATTTATGTCTTACTAATCTCAACATGAAAAATGAACTATCTGATCATACTTTGTCTAAAGTTCCAAGGAAAAGGGACTTAGCTTTAAATCCACCTGTTCATCAAACCCCATCAAATTCAGCAGGTCAGGTCAAAACTAAAAAGACAAGAAAGAAGCGTAATCGAAGCAGAAATAAAGCCAGGGTAGCTACCAATGAAAATTTAATATCGAGACGATGCACCAGATCAATGTCACAGCCACACACATGTACAATAGAAACTTTAGAAAAAGAAACTTTGATGCAATGTGTAAACCGTGAGGACAAGAAGAGACAGAGGCATAACCAGTTAAATGCAAGACGAAACCAAGAAAAAGGAAAAAGAAGACGACGCAATAAACAGCAATATGATATGAACAGTCAGTGTCAAGGAAAAGCTTCCGATATAAATAAAGGCCAACCACTTCAGAATGCTGGAACTATGAAGAATATTGATCAAACTATAGTCGCTGAAGGTGAGACAAAAATGAGAACAAGGAGTGGAACCAAACAATTGCCTGATTCATTAACAGGTAATGATGCATTCAATATAGGTAAATTGAATTGGTCCACTTTTGGTTATGAAATAGGGAGCTACGGTGGCTCATTGACCAGGTGATCTTGGGTTCCATCCTGTTGAAAAAGTTCAAGTCTGTCGTCCCTTTTCAGTGGTGCAGGATGGAGTAAGTGACAAGAAAAAGCCTCTTGTCATTCGGATTGGAGGAAAAAACAGCAGTACATTAAGTAGATCCCCTGACATTTGATGGTCAAAATAAGAGTAGGCTATGTACAAAAATTCCTTTATTCCATGCTTTATGCATCTTCATTAGATTTTAATCCCCATTTCATTTTATCAAAAAATGATATACAATATTTTACTTACTCCCACTTTATTTTATTGTTTGTATTTTTCAGATAAATTTGACCAGCAACTTATAGGTAATCTTATATTTGATTGTCATCTGTGTTCAAGACAGTTCTTTAGAAGAAGCCATTTAGAAAGTCATATGAAGTTTCGTCATGGTTTCCCGCAATCAGAAACGGTTAACAAAAAAATTAACACACCAGATTTATTTGAACCATACAAGTTTCTCAGCTCGCCACAAAATTCTTCAATAGATATAGGAAATGTCAGTCCAGGACAAGGAACTGTTAACCTCGAACAAGAAAGTGTTAATGAGGTAGAAAGTGTTAATCCAGAACAAGAATGTGGTAACAATATAGAAAGTATTAATCCGGGGCAAGAAAGTGTTAATGATAAAGAAAGTGTTAACGATAAAGAAAGTATTAACCCGGGACAAGAAAGCATTAACTGTTCAGGGGTCGTAAAGCCAGGAGAAAAGAAAACAGAAGCAAGTTCCAGTGGTCAATCCTTAAAACAGAAATTCAGGTGGGAAAATGATAGTAGTGTGGAAAGTGGCAATGAATTGGACGTTTCTTCTAAAAATGCAAAAAGAAACAATGAGGGGGAAAAAAATGAAGAATATGGAGTTCAAAGTGCAAAATCCAGAAAGAAAAGTCGAAATAAAACAAAAAGTGCAAGTCGAAATCAAACAAAAAGTGAAAGTCGAAGAAAGAAAAGTCGAAATCAAAGAGCAGACTGTTTAAAAGTTCAAACGTCAAACATAGGTCTTGAAAATTCAGAACAGAACAAAACCGAAAACATTTTAAATCAAAATAGAGGAGTTGATTGTCTAAAGGAAGAAAATGGTGGACAAGTTACAATTTCAAATCAATGTAGTAAAAGTTCTGATCTCCAGTGTGTTGGACCTGTAGATCGTGGAGATGATTGCATAAAAGAAGACATCCAAGGACCATCAAACCTGGACAGGGAAAGTTCAAACAAGACAATGAAAGGCATGGATAATACTCAAACTGAACCGAAGATAAAAGTTCAGCGTGGACAGAAATGGTTGTCCTGTGATTATTGTGAACGGACCTTCAATAGAAAATATCGTTACAATAGACATCTCATGATTTGCCATTCAACCGAAAATTGGGAGAGGAAAACTTGTGAATATTGTAATAGTCAATTTCCTGTCGGTTTTAATCTAACTCTTCACGTCTTTATGCAACATACAGCACACAATCAAAAAGCTGTGTTTTCGTGTCGATTTTGTGCATTAACTACAATTCATCTTGGAGCAATGCACACTCATGTACAAGCCACACATCGGGAAGAGTACAAGAGCATCACCACAACTTCACTCTCTTGTCCTGATAAAAAAGAAATTAAAGTTGTTGTTTGTAAGATCTGTGGAACATTCCATAGAAATAACCGACAATTTGAGAGTCATCTTTTGGAAATGCATGGTGATGTTTTAGAGACTCAAAAATTAGAGAAAAGCGTTGCACATAGATGTTTTCTGAAACAGAATCTGACAAATGAGGTTCTAATTAAGGATGCAAATGATCTTTACAAATGCTTGTACTGTCCAGTTAAATTTCTTTCTGAAGAAAATGTCAGTGTCCACATCAAGGAGAGCCACATCCCTATAAAACTTAAAGAAGAATCTTCTACATTATTGTATAGATGTTCTTTCTGTAAATATAGAAACAAAACAATACACTTGCTTAAAATACATATGGGACTACATCACTGGGAAGCAGAAAACTTCTGCACAGTTTGCCGAGAATGAGATTAATGTTACTACTTGTGTGCCACATATGGTATTTTGTTCCTGTTATTGAGTCATATTTTATTTTTTATTTATTTTTTATAACTGTGCCTGTAGAAATAATACAGATTTAAATTTTATTTTTATTGTTATCCTATCAGAATTTTCCATGAGAGTCATTTGTTAATTAGTTTATCTGTAACAGTTGTTTTCGATGACAGTCATTTGTTAATTAGTTTAGCTGTAATAGTTAGTTTCCATGGAAGTCATTTGTTAATTAGTTTAGCTGTAACAGTTATTTTCCATGTCCAATGGCAGTCATTTGTTAAATAGTCTAGTCATAATAGTTATTTTTTTAGGGCAGTTACTTTTTGGTAATAAGTCTAATCATAACTATGAAATTATGATAATCTTGTCATAAAAGTTATTTTCCATGACAGTCATTTGTTAATTAGTCTAGTCATAAAAGTTATTTTCCATGACAGTCATATGCTAATTAGTCTAGTCATAAAAGTTATTTTCCATGACAGTCAATTGTTAATTAGCCTAGTCATAATAGTTATTTGCCAAGTCGATCATTTGTTAATTTGACTAATTAGTGTCAATTGCTTAAATCATACAATGGGCGTCCTCGCTGAAGAATTCCCACCAAGTGTTGCTAATAAAAACTTGGTTCCATGTGACCTTAACGATGGTAAGAGAAACGTATCGGGATTAAATTTCGGTATTAACGACCAAAACTAACGTTTGTCAACACAACAGTTTGTAATGAATGTACAGGAAAACAATGCTGTAAGGTAAACAATGAGGTCACGTGGGACCGCCTCACCTATAAATTATGTCCCTTTACCTCTAGCGAGGACGGCCATTCGAAATGAATGCCTTTACTTGATTTCATTCCATGGGGAATTATCCACATTGTCTGTGAGTCCTCAGTGAAAATGTTCTGAGAAATGGCTCAATTATAAAACATATAATGTCAGTCTTCAAACCGGTGCCTATTTTATTATTTGCTTTGGAATCTTTTCCAATTCTTTTGGGTAATTTATCGCATGCTTTTCAAGACAAGACTCACCTAGAGAATACTGTATTGTGGTAATTATTCCCTATTTCTTAGAACATTTCACTATTCAACTCTATGAAAGCTGCTCATCATCATTTGCATTTTGTTTTTGAACCATATCATATTTTCACAGCTTAATTGAATATTTAACGTTGAAAAGAAAACCATAATATTGAATAGTTACCGAGATTGGATTTATTTTAATTGAAAAGAGGCCAATCAAAAGGTTTTACCGTGCACTTATAGGTGGCATTGGCTTGTTTATATTATCTGCAGAATGTTTCAAAATTTTAAATTCATAATATCTTTGTAAATTATGAACAGAATTGAACCATTTTTGAATTGTTATTCTTTTTTAGGATTCGCAATCCTTCTAATTACAATCAGTGGCATCAATCTTTAAATCATTCTATCCAAATTTGTCCATGATATTATTGTATACCCTGTGTGCTAGTCTTAGGGGTTTTTTTATTATTATTATTTTATTGTTATTATTGTTAAGACTAGTCAATTTAATTTTACATTATTCCCTCCAGTCTAGCTTTACAGCTGTTGTTCATTTTTGTATTGTTTTTTTTTTTATGTACGATATACATGTTATCTATTTTTTTTTCATCATTTCAAATACTTTCTACTTTAAATGTATAATATTGTTTTTATTTTTTATTTTGTTATGTTTGGTTTTATATTGAAAAGATATTTCAAATTTTATTATTTTGGTTCTCTCAGTCAATGAGAAATTAGGACGCCTATCCTTCAACTATTTTAGTAGTTGACTTTATCTACTGCTCGTCATATTTAAATATCAAGAAAAATACATTTTTAGATAATTATTACTGAATGTCATTTAAAGACCTTATTAGGAATAAACATTACTTATTCTATATTTGTCCCCCGCCTTTCGAAGAAAGCAGGGGACTATTAAAATGGGTTCGTCCGTCTGTCTGTCTGTCTGTCTGTCTGTCTGTCTGTCTGTCTGTCTGTCTGTCTGTCTGTCTGTCCGTCTGTCCGTCCGTCCGTCCGTCTGTCTGTCCGTCACACTTTTTGGGACACAATAACTCTCTTCCTAATTGAGCTAGAATGTTCAAACTTGGTGTATGTGTTTATTAGGTCAATGCCTTGATGGAGTTCGAAGATGAGCATTTTCCGCTTAGGGTAAGCAGAGATAAGCAATTTGATTGGTTGATGCTTTGGGACACGATAACTCTCTTCCTAATTGGGCTAGAATGTTCAAACTTGGTGTATGTGTTGATTAGGTCAATGCCTTGATGGAGTTCGAAGATGAGCATTTTCCGCTTAGGGTAAGCAGAGATAAGCAATTTGATTGGTTGATGCTTTGGGACACGATAACTTTTAATTGAGCTAGAATGTTCAAACTTGGTGTATGTGTTTATTAGGTCAATGCCTTGATGGAGTTCGAAGATGAGCATTTTCCGCTTAGGGTAAGCAGAGATAAGCAATTTGATTGGTTGATACTTTGGGGCACGATAACTCTCTTCCTAATTGAGCTAGAATGTTCAAACTTGGTGTATGTGTTGATTAGGTCAATGCCTTGATGGAGTTCGAAGATGAGCATTTTCCGCTTAGGGTAAGCAGAGATAAGCAATTTGATTGGTTGATGCTTTGGGACACGATAACTTTAGTTCTAATTAAGTGAGATTGATGAAACTTGGTGTATAGTTTCATTACAGTAATACCTTGACTAAGTTTGATAATGAGCATTTTCTGCTCAGGGTAAGCAGAGCGATACGCAATTTGATTGGTCGAGACTTTGGAAAACAATAACTCTCCTACTTTGATTGTCCCCTGCCTTTCGAAGAAAGCAGGGAACTATTAAAATGGGTTCGTCCGTCTGTCTGTTTGTCTGTCTGTCCGTTCCGCTTATTTGTGATAAATTTATATGTGTCCTCTAATTATTTTCCTATTTCGGCGGGGGACATCAGCCTCACTGTTGGCTTGTTGTGAATTACGATTAACTTTTAAATACTTTTAAAGAATTAATGACCTACCTGAGCTCATTGAGACTACCAAGCAGTAGTTAAAACTACCAAGTTGCCCTATTTTATACATTGATATATCAATACACACCGATGGAACATTAGACTTGAAAATCACATGCTTACTGCATGAGCTTTTTGAAATGTGAGGCACATTTATTCAGATGTATGCACTTTATTGATGAATATGTATGCTTGTAATTAAAATATGTTTTTCAATTGAGTTTACATGAATTTTCTCCGGTGTTGAAATAATTACATAAACATTTTTTTTTATTTTGCAAAGTTTCGTATTCCAATTTCCATAAAACTTATTTTATATTATTGTAATACTGTAGGACAAGAATATCCTGCTTGATAAAGAAATGTTTTTATACTTTTATATTGAAATTAATAAAAGAAGAATAATGTGTGTATTTATTCCATTTTTTGTTAAAATGTTCCGGTCAACTCCTACAGCATTTGGATTCCTGATTGGTCTCATATACCTGTGTATAGTTTGGAAATCATAAGGCATTTTGATTAGATAAGAAATTGCAAAGTGTTTTTATACGCCCCCATTTTCATGTGGACGTATATTGTCGTCGACCCTGTCCGTCCGTCCGTCCACAATTGTTTGTGAACAGTCTACAGGTCACAATTTTTATCCGATTTCAATGAAACTTGAAATATAGGTTTATCACCCCAAGATCTCGGTTCCTTTCGATATTGGCATGTATCGGACCGTAACTTCCTGGATTATGGCCCCTGATTGTACGAAAAATCACGTTTTTAGCTTGTGAACACTGTAGAGGTCACAATTGTTAGCTTGTTCTCTATCCATCTCTCGAAAATGTGGGCGTATCCTGCCTGGCAGCCGCTGGTTATCCGATTTGGTTTAAACTTGAAATGTATGCTTATAACCCAAAGATCTCAGTTCCTTTCGATATTCGTGCATATCGGAACGTAACTTCCTGAATTATGGCCCCTGATTGTACGAAAAATCGCGTTTTTAGCTTGTGGACCCAATAGAGGTCATAATTTTTATCCGATTTAAAAAAAAACGTATTATTGTATCACCGTTACACCCTAAGGATGGCTGAGTTCGAATTTCGTGAAAATCGGTCAAAACTGACTGACAAAATGGCCGCCGTTCGTTCTCAAATAGCCATATTTTTACGCTATTTGAGAACGAAGAGCGGCCATTTTGTCTGTCAATTTTCGGCATTTTTAGCTTGTGGACCCAATAGCGGTCATAATTTTTATCCGATTTAAAAAAACGTATTATTATATCACCGTTACACCCTAAGGCCGACTGAGTTCGAATTTCGTGAATATCGGCCCAAAACTGACAGACAAAATGGCCGCCCTTCGTTCTCAAATAGCGTAAAAATATGGCCTATCAAGGTTGTGGACCCTATAGAGGTCACAATTTCTATCCGATTTTGTTGAAACTTAAAATGTAAGTTTATAACCCAAAGATCTCGGTTCCTTTCGATATTCGCGCATATCGGACCGTAACTTCCTGAATTATGGCCCCTGATTGTACGAAAAATCGCATTTTTAGCTTGTGGACCCTATAGAGGTCATAATTTTTATCCGATTTAAAAAACGTATTATTATATCACCGTTACACCCTAAGGACGACTGAGTTCGAATTTCGTGAAAATCGGCCCAAAACTGACAGACAAAATGGCCGCCCCTCGTTCTCAAATTGCCTAAAAATATGGTATATCAAGGTTGTGGACCCTATAGAGGTCACAATTTTTATCCGATTTTGTTGAAACTTGAACTGTAAGTTTATAACCCAAAGATCTCGGTTCCTTTCGATATTTGCGCATATCGAATTGTAATTTCCTGAATTATGGCCCTTGATTGAAGGAAAAATCACTTTCGTTTTAGCTTGTTTTCTATCCATCTCTCGAAAATGTGGGCGTATCCTGCCTGGCAGCCGCTGGTTCAAATGGAAATGAAGTTTCAAGTCCTACTGTTCGGCTTCAACTAGACTAATACAGACGGGCATACCTCATACAATGTGCTATGATGGAAATGTCTGTACAACAGGCTTTCTGTCTACTCATCATGAATTTCTACCTTATAAGGGTTCTTTTGAGTGTACAAAGGTAGACCTCAGGTTTTGTCCCATACAAACCACTAGACATGGTTTTCCTTGATTAAATCCAGGACTTCCTGGTAAAAATCACCAAGCCACCGTAGTTCCCTCATTTAAAAAAACATTCATCTCCATAATTAGTAATTAAAACTATTAATATGGCTTAAAATACAGATGTGACGTCATCCTTTGATGTTGGAGTACCATTATTTCAAATAATCGTACGGGCAATGTGTCAAGCGTAACTTGGTAAAATATTGAACTCGAGTGACGTATTTCATCGCAAAGCACGTGCAAGTGTCTGTATTTTAAGTTGTTTAATGGTCTCGAGCTTAAGACATTGCGTAATATACTATTCAAAAAAAGTAGGGGATATTTGATTTTGGGGGCATAATACTAAAATATGCAAATGACTACGAAAAAAGTCACTATAGAACCTAACAGAAGAAACATTTCCAGTTACATGTGACGCCCAAACGCACCAATAGCTACCGCATGGAATGCAGGCGATGCTTGGGATCATCATGGGGGTCCAACCCAAGATTTGCACGACTCTGACTTTGAATGTTACAGTCATTGTGGCATTGAATTCCAGGGTGGAAACATCAGTTTAATTGTTTTAGTGACCAGAAAACAAATTTTGATATGCATCGGCTTACCCAAAATGAAAGGTTACGTGCCCTTGGCATGCTACAGATCGGCACAACACAGGCGGTTGTGGCGCGGACGATGAATGTTTCTCAGTCTGTCATAAGCAGGCTATGGTCCAGATACCGTGATACACAATCTGTACAGGACAGACCACGCTCAGGTCGACCAAGGGCGACAACTCAAGCCCAGGATCGATTTATCCGTACCTTGGCCTTGAGAAATCGTGTCATCACAGCAAATCAGATCAGCGCTCGTCTTCAAACAGACACTGGTGTGAGAGTGAGTGGCCAGACGATTCGGAATCGACTTGCATAGGGGTCACCTTCGCGCCCGACGTCCTCGCGTGATCCCTTGTTTGAGAGATCATCACATTCAGGCAAGACGTCGTTGGTGTAGGGATCGTCAACACTGGGATAATCGACGCTGGAGCAATGTGATGTTTTCAGATGAGTCAAGGTTCACTGTTGATTTTTTGGACAGACGTAGGAGGGTGTGGCGTCGTCGAAACGAGCGCTTCCAAGACGTTAACGTCATCAGACATGATCGATTTGGGGGTGGTTCTGTTATGGTGTGGGGAGGCATCACTGTTGCTGGAAGAACGGCTTTACATGTTGTTGCAGGGCGTGTTACAGGCCAGTACTACCGGGACAACATCTTGGCAGTCCATGTTGTGCCGTTCGCACGACGTCATGGCCGCCGTTTCATCTTCCAGGATGACAACGCAAGATGTCACAGGGCCAGGATCGTTACAGGTTACCTCCAACAACAGAACATCACCACATTACCTTGGCCAGCACTGAGTCCCGACCTCTCCCCCATCGAGCATGTCTGGGACATGCTTGGACAGAGGTTACGTCAACGTCAACAACGTCCTGCCAATGTCCAAGAACTTACTGCTGCGTTGCAACCGGAATGGGACAATCTGGACCAAAATGACCTTAGACGTCTCATTAGGAGTATGCCACGTCGGATCAATGCTTGTTTGGCAAACAGAGGAGGATTTACCCGTTACTGACTTGGTTGTGATGCTGTGGTAAATTTGCTGTTTGACCCCGGGTATCATTTTACCCTTATAATGGTCAGTCTGGGCCTTACTTAGTCTAACGATCATTTGGAATAAATCGATGAATGTGAACTTCATTTCATTTTGTCTTTTGTTTCTTCGTCAGTTTCATTAGGTGACTTTAATAACACTTAAAAATCAAATATCCCCTACTTTTTTTGAATAGTATATATTGTAAAAACATTCGGCCCTCATGTTGTTACAATATATTACTTAATGTCTCGCTCTCGACCATTAAACCACACATAATCATTGGCAGACAAACTCTCATGGTGTTTAAAATCCTACTTCTCTCCACCGACAATTTAATTCCTACTTTCCAGGGTTCTTTTATGTACATGCCAGAGGTTCTTGCCATGCCCTCCATCACTGACAAACAGGAACCACACTGGAAAACTCTTGACAACACTGTGATCGAAACCAGGACCAGGTGGTTACTGAGCTAGTGCCTTACTGAGCCACAAACTCGCTTAGAAATAAAAACTGTTTGTCCAAAAATATTGGGAAGATGTGATGTATGTTTTTTTCCGGATTTAATATACCGAACTGTGAATCACCACATGGCAATCTTGTTCAAACCATTCTGGTTTCGCCAAGATGAAGTTAAATAAACAAATGATATCACTGAAGACAATCTTCCGGTCAGATTTAAATGAAGAGAGGCCTTAGTCTATTCCACTTCTGAGGTCACTCCCAATCCCCTGCACTCACAATTAGAGAAAAATAAAGTGTGCCGAGGATGGCAACTACAGTGTGTACTTTTTGAGCTGAGCCAAACCTATAGATAAATCCTAAACTGACCATCTTGCTGGTTTGTCTTATTCAAATCGACCTATTGCAACTCGAATCATAAAGTTTATTGGTTTCTGTTAATTACAGTAGGATCTTAATTGCTCGGGACTATCACAAAGCTGGGATATACTGCTCACAGGTGACAAAAGTGGGGGTATGTTCTCATCAGGCTATAAGGGTGTGTTTGTACGCGTACAATGGCCATGATTGTTCTACAACTTGAAAACAAGTATGGCGATTATTTAGGGTGTTAAATTTTTTTTTTATTTGATTATTTCTGATGTTTTGTAATCAGAGTTCAGCTTTAAAGATACACTGTCAGATAAAGAACTGGCTCTTGCTATAATAGTTAAAGTTCAAAAATAGATACTAAAAAATGAATATACATAATGTATTGAAAATTTCATTCACATTTTTATATTCTGAGCAATGTAACCGATGTATTATTATCGAAGCAACGGTACTTGACAATAGAGACTAAGGATCTTGTCCATTTTATCATTAAATTCTTAAATCTTGGTGGTGTTCTAATCCATTTACATCTAGGACATCTTATTGCCAGCAAGTTGATTATAGGCTTGTCGGGTGAATAAATGTCTAAATAACAGTTATGCAACATTTGAAGCCAAAAGACAAGCAATGGACATATTTGGTTCTTATAAACTCCATCTTTAACTTCTGGGGCAACTGAAGAGAATTCTTAAAAGGACAAATTGATGGGGTTTTCGTACACTAAAGTTCATCCACAAACATTTATAGTATGAACTTGTATTGATACTGCTGCATGCCATGAATTGAATTGGCTCAAAGGGGGGAGGGGGTGTGAAATGAAATGAAATGAAATGGAGTTTAACGTCCTACTGTTCTGCTCCTAACCTGGGCTAATGAAGACGGGCATACGCCATACAGTGTGCAATGAGGGAAATTTTGCCCGGACAGCGGCACTACGGCCTACTCTTATATCGAATTCCAACTGCCAAGGGATCTTTTACGTGCACGCCAATGTGTACACGGGACCTCGGTTTTTCGTCCCATCCGAACGACTAGACAGCTTTCCTTGTCAGCCCCTCCGTCCTGCATCACTGACAAGGGAGAACCACGCCGGAAAATCTGGATGAACTTTCTCGGCCAATGCAGGGATCGAACACCCGACCTCCAGGCTAGCGAGCTAGCGTCTTACCCACCTAGCCACGTGATCCCCCGGGAGGGGGTGTAACATCCTACTATTCTTGTTGTTCTTAGCGTTTAACGTCCGCTTCCACCGAAGGTGATATCGCAGACTACTATTCTGCATCAACCATGCTAATGAAGCCCAGTATACACTATTTTCAGTGCTGTCTGGTATCTACCAATGGTCTACACAGGACATAGGTTTCCTATGCCATCCAACATTTCTTATGCCACTATAACTCATTGCGCCACTCAGGTCTTTTTTTTATGCAACAAATAAACAAATCAAGTGAAAGAAGGAATAGTTTATTGATATTTTGCATCATGTCTGATATAACCATTAAGGCACAATAAAATCTACCTACAGTCTTTAATCTTTGGTATAAAGGTAAATGATATACAAACTGGGTGATTTTTTTATGAAAAATTTAATTTGCTAATTCTGCTTTTTCATTGGTTAAGAGCTCATGTCTACTAGAATTTCGCATTTAGCCAATGAAATCGCAGTATTCTTCAAATATTTCAGTTCGAGTTTTAATAAGGGCACAGGGCTTTCTCACAAAAATGTAAATGGAATATATCCTAAAGCTCTTGAAATTATGAGTGCCTAATTTGACCACAATCTAATAACATATCTTATAAAGTTAATTTAGTTTAAATATAAAATGAATGTCTTGACTAAATTTGAGCAATTTTATGAACAGATGACAATATGTTCATGTATGCCGAATATACTATAAAGCACAGATAATTTGATCAATTCAGCTTACACAAATTTTCACTAAAAAAATATCAAAAAGGTCTACAAGATGACAATCTATCATTCAGTAACAAATTGTGATGTTAAAATATTAATTTTTTTCCACGTACACAAAATTCAGTTCGATGCAGATCAAAAATAATACAATTCCTGCAGAGCAAGGAGTCTTTCCTCATCCTCTGCCATTTTAATTATGCTCAAAAAACAATTCTTTCATAAACCCAGCTCTAATTGCACATATATTTACTAAATGAGTAAACCGACATGTATAATGCAATAGCAAGACAGTGCTTATAGTCAATATTCAGACACGATACAAAATATAAACACATCATTAGACAGTTAACATAGGACCAAACACAGTCTCATTAATACAAATTATCATCTTCTACACAAATTTATTGAAAAAATTTGTTCACTTTTTTTTTTTATTATCAGTTTTTTTTTATCTGAAAATCATTAAATGACAGAATAACCTGTCAACTTAAATATACCTTACCTCCCAATTGAAACAGTGAATATAAACATTTCACAGATAAAATATTTCAATATTTGAATTACTACCCTGACTTTAAATCCTAATATCCGAGTTGAGTATAAAAAAATTTTACCTTATAAATTAACATAAATGAACATCTCACAAAATGTTAAATTAACAAAATCAGACAATAATTTGTATTTTATTTGGCTGGTTTGGTCATTTTATCCAACAAATTTAACAATAACAAAACTTTGAAGAGATTGTTCTGTTCAGTGACTGATATTTCCTGTGAATTATGCATTGAAAAATTCATCTAAATCCAAAACATGAATTAAATTTTCTTTGTCATCACTAACACTACCATCTACATATATTTAAACGGATGTCAATTGTTTTGATTTCAATCACTGAACTTTCAATCACTGAACATTACCCCAACTGTTTTGTCCCCACCCCTCCCATCCCCTTTTCCCTCCCCGAATTTCAATTATTTGTCAAACTGACTGATATTATTAAGAAAATGAAATCTAAAATTAAATCGACCCAAATTTTCACACTTCGTTCTCTAAAATTATTGATAAAAATAGTGAACAAATCTGATGAACTAAACATAATTTCGTCATTTAATTATTGCTAAGTCTTCAACAAAATAAATGCATTCTTACATCTGCTGTCACATATCCAAATTCTCTAACATACATGTATAAACTTGTGCGTATTATAAATAAATTTCATGACCTTTAATAACATCAGTGTTTATAATAGTAAAGATTTCCCCTGTGCCAAAGTAAACAATCCCAACCCATACCCCCAAAAAACCCATTAAAAAAAAAAACATTGTTGAAATCCTCATTCGGCTTTTGATGGTTCTTCGCGGTTTTGTCTTTTCGTAACAAATATCCAGAAATGGGATACAACACTTTCAATTTAAATTACCCGGTAATGGTAATTTGGTTTTTAGTTTTTACATACATGTACAATGTAGCTTTCATTCACACAATGTGAATTTTAATATCCAAAAGTTAAATATGAGCCAAAACAAATTATGCTGATCTAACAATGGCTACAAGTATCTAAATTATCCTCAAGTTAATATTCACCATTTATCTTGGCTAAACTATATTTCTTAAACAGGATCAGCAAGTAACCATGGTAAAAGTTGTCATGGTAATAAGGCAGGATTTAAAGCTGCCCCTGGGAGGTCGTCACATCATCACCCCTTTCAAGATAATATTCTGCCTGAATGGCTGTTACTAACAGCATTTTAAATTAATCGGTTAGCTTGCTCCCTCCCAAAGCAACCGACGGGAAATTTAAATTTATTTTTACAGCGAAATATTTCCTAAAGTCACTTACTTTAAGTTCTTTTTTTATTATAGGGTATGCATAACTGGACTGTTGTGCACTACACAAATACAATGTAACTAAAAATTCAAGGGAAGATAGTCAAGAAAATGATTCTTGGTTACAAGTTAAGGACCTCTGGTGTACAATTAAATTTATATTTTCTGGTTTCAAGATAAGTCTTGCCAGTATCTAAAATTAACTAATTTTAGCAAATTATGTAGGTGGTCCCGATCTTCAATTACTTTGTTTTTCACTATAAATTTACTAGAATGCTAATGACCGACAAGAGTTAATGTACCTATTCTAAACATGGGTGAATGTCCACCGAAATAAAACTACTTTTCAGGTACATGTACTAACCATTTCTTGTAAACAGTTTAAATGGGGCCTTAACTACATGTACATATACGAAAACTTAAGCATCCAGCCTTTCATTGACAAAACGATTCAGTTTGTGGCCAATGAAAATGCTGCATTCTTAAAATATGTTACTTCAAATTTTTGAAGGTGCCAATTGTTTATCAAACTACAAGGAAGTCTAGCCGATTAAAGCATCACATTCCAGTCTGATTTGAAGAATAAATGCACCTTTGTCTAAACTAAATGTTAATGGATCCTCTTAAATTATCAAGTGTGTCATGCAGTAATAATTTATGACCGATGCATGCTCGATTCATTTAGCTGCAGAACTGCACGACAAAATATAGTGGAACCACTCACTATTCAATGCATTTCACAGTTACTCCTCGCATAGTGACCTCATTCAAAATAGCCAATAATAGTGCAGAACTGCTGCAGGTAAATCAATCGAGCAAAATCCAGATTACATAAAAATACATGATATATGAAGATCCCTTTTAAACAGATAATCTCTATCTCAAATGACGACATATCCATGGAATGATGTCAAAAGTTGTGTCTGCTCCGGTTGGTCGGCCATATTTGATCTTTTCCTTTTTTTTCCAACTAGCAGACACGATTCACAATCTAGTTATCATTTCACAATTTTCACATGACAAGTAAACACATTTTCTTCATAATATTTCTAATGATAAAGGTCCTTTTTCCTTTTGAATATATTGCATTGAGATGATTGGATGACAAGGACTGCACCGCAGCAAAGTTTTTCTTGCATCAAACTTCGTATTTACATAACTTCAGGGTCAAATGTCACTCGGCACCCTTTCTGAAATGCACCTGTATTTGATGAAAAGTGCTTGATTTCTCTTTACTGGCTTTCAAGTACATTACAATATATCGATAGCAGGAATTCACTTCACAGAATTTACACTTTTGAACTTTCAGCGAACTACTAAGATCCACACACTTTTATTTGGATAAATTCTTGGCACTTCCACAAGGTTTCTCACGATATGTGTACGGATACCACAAGCTATGCGGCAAAAAAAAAAAAAAATTGTCTTTATATTTCACAATCATTCAATAATACTAAATCGTATAGCAGTAAGCTATCACTTCCCCAGTGATATCAAAACAGTCTATTTACTGCCATTTTATCGGTCCAGAGTTCGGGAGAGGGACGTCACAAATCACAGAACGAAAAATAATATTTGGCTTGGTACGTTGCGATACATCAGAACCTGTTCAATGTATCATAGTTCGCTCGTTATAAATATTGTGGTCTATGAACACATCCCAGCCCCTATTATTCTCTCCGTTAAACATTAAGGCATGGAAGTTATAGTTCATTTCTGTACAAAAATATATTACATTATTTTCTCGATCATTCACGACTCAAACCACAAGAAAGATGGAGGTGGGATTTTTGTAGAGGCAAATTGTCTTTCAATAATGACAAACATTCAAAAACACATTTTGGTTTCGAACACCTAATATCTGAATTCTTTTCTATTCAAACCAGCACAGACTAATAGTTCATATCAACACCACACAAACCAAAATTAATATTTTTTACGCTCAATATACCGGCAAACCAATTCATCTACGTCACCTCCTTTTGATGAGAATGAGGACGGTTTGAATCGCGAACAATAAAGTCATCTTTTGCATCAAAATTATCTATATACAGTTTTACAGTATTATTAACTAACTTTCGAGCTCAACATCAATAAATTGAGCACCAAGGGACATTCATTTATCTTAACGGTCAAAATTAGACCACACAAAAAATAAGCATTTATCATTGGTGAGTTTTGAAGATTTGACTAATGAGATGAGGGGTGTGGAATAAATGGGCCTGACTGTTCACTATAAATAAATAACGACACAGTTTTCGATTTAGAAAACCATTCACAAAAGCATTCCGATAAATTTGTTCTGATCGGTATTAACAACACTTTCGACAAGATACAAAATTCTTTCTGTGACCAATTGTTGAACAGTTCAACCCATTTATACCCACTTAGTATAAATATGATAAACGATTTGAATATCACCAGTGCATAAACCAGGATCAAAATACACAGACACAGACAAAATAATCCGCCTCCATTCTAATCTTATATAACAATAGTGGACATTAAAAACATTTTTTTTGTTTACATTTTTATTTTTTTTTTTTTTTAATTTTATCTTCACCGACCATCCACTTTACCCTTCAAATTAATTTGTTTAGTTTACGAAATTATGTCCGATTCTGTGTATTTGAACTTGATCTATACATAGTGGATATTTGATGAATAATGAAATAGTATGAGTGAAATTCTGTATTCCATACTCGATTGCTAATTTGACTAGATAAATAATGACCATCTTTAATTATAACAGAGGGGTAATTATTAAAATGCAAAATCACTTTAGATTGTTTTAGTTATGAAAAATTTAAATTTACAAATGTGTTTATCGTTAATGTTTTTTTTCATTCAACCAATGAAAAGTGAGTTCACATGTCAATAATTCCACACAAATTGCTGTATACATTTTTGCTTTTTTCACCATTTTAAGATTTCACATACATTGCAAGGAGAATCCACCAACACTTCAATCATTACGTCGAATTGTGGTTTCAAAAAGCAACAAAACTATACTAACAATAATCAGAAGAAATTTCCCGGAGAAGTAATTCATAGAAAAAGAGTAGATTGAAGATCAGTTCAAAGTTAGAAGTTTTACGAGACATCCACGTCACTGTTCATCATTCAATGTGCTTCGTAATGAATAGACTTGTTTAATCCTGGTTTTATCGATAATACCCACAGGATTTCAAATTGCCATAATAAAAAATCTTTGGAATTACAACCGTCTAACTTGGAAATGATCTTAGAAATTCAGAGGTTTTATCCACACCTCTAAAATACTGACCCTTAGCTGCGTTAGAAAATGATGCTTTTTAGCAGTATAAAACAAGTAGTGTTTTGAGATAACCTAGAAGTATGGGCTGAATTTTGTACAGTTACTAGGTTTCAAAATTAAATCAGAGAGCATTAAGGCTTAACATAACATTTTCAAGGAATTACAAAATGCTCTAATAAATGAAGAGTTTCAATATTTCGATCTGTAGCTAAACAAAACATCCACAACATTCAAATCAACAAATTATTTAACTCGTAGACAGAATAATTCACGTATTTACACCCAGTTGGCGTGAACAATGTTCTGTATGTTCTTGTGTCAAAATCTTACATTCATCTAAAAAAAACAGAATTCCCCCAAAAAACAGAAAATGTTGAGTTTTTTCAAATTAGTTTGTTTATAAGAACACGAGGTATCACAGGTTTTAACTTATATACTATACCAAAAGTTCATACGACGACGCTTATTATTCAAAGTTATTGACTTGTTTATGTTTATCCTTGATTTAACAAAATGTGAATGTTCAACATTTAAAAAATCTCTTCCATTTGTTAAAAAAGACTTTTTTTATAATAAATAACATTCTTTTATACATAAATTAAATTATCACATCTTTTTTAACAAGAGCTTGTGTTTTATTTTTGTTATTTTATCGTCGTGATTTTTTCGTCAAATTCAACATTGAATTAACCTAAACAAGCGAAATAACTATCAATAACGTCACGTTGCCGTTTGCCTAAAACTGCTGTCACCCAACAAACATTCAAATGTCAAGGAAATATTTACAAGTTATAATCCTTAATTTGTCTAATTCTATTTGTCTTTGGGATAACTTGTGCTCGACCTCTGTTCATCAAAATTAATGTTCCTCCATTTTTGCAGATGCTCTGAAAAAAACTGCAACTTTGCCTGTTATTAAAAGAATTCTGCTTTAGAAGATGTTACTTCTATTTACATATGAATAATTTACATGTGTTTGGTTCTGTGGGCCACATGATGGTATATCGTTAATTTAACCAGATTAACTGGTCTTTTGTGCACCTTCATCGTCCCCGTCTTTCTCCATGTGCCACTGACTAACGTAAAGCGAGGGATCAATCTGTTTAGGAATAGGTTTAATATCGGCACCAAGTTCTTGTTCAATCTTGTGTAATGAAAATCTGAAATGGAAAAATATTTTTCTTGGCAATGAAGTTTAATAATTCAGATGTGGAAGCATGTTATTCGATGCAAGTGGAGTTTTAGTATGACCACTGATAATGAGTTTGGCAAATATATGCAGGTTATCATTCCCCAAGGTTAAAGGTGACACTTTGTATCAATTAACATTAGGCTTTAATGTCCTTTAGTTTTTCTTTCATCCATCAAGTATACTATTCAAAAAAAGTAGGGGATATTTGATTTTTAAGTGTTATTAAAGTCACCTAATGAAACTGACGAAGAAACAAATGACAAAATGAAATGAAGTTCACATTCATCGATTTATTCCAAATGATCGTTAGACTAAGTAAGGCACAGACTGACCATTATAAGGGTAAAATGATACCCGGGGTCAAACAGCAAAGTTACCACAGCATCACAACCAAGTCAGTAACAGGTAAATCCTCCTCTGTTTGCCAAACAAGCATTGATCCGACGTGGCATACTCCTAATGAGACGTCTAAGGTCATTTTGGTCCAGATTGTAGCATTCCTGTTGCAACGCAGCAGCAAGTTCTTGGACATTGGCAGGACGTTGTTGACGTTGACGTAACCTCTGTCCAAGCATGTCCCAGACATGCTCGATGGGGGAGAGGCCATGTGACATCTTGCGTTGTCATCCTGGAAGATGAAACGGCGGCCATGACGTCGTGCGAACGGCACAACATGGACTGCCAAGATGTTGTCCCGGTAGTACTGGCCTGTAACACGCCCTGCAACAACATGTAAAGCCGTTCTTCCAGCAACAGTGATGCCTCCCCACACCATAACAGAACCACCCCCAAATCGATCATGTCTGATGACGTTAACGTCTTGGAAGCGCTCGTTTCGACGACGCCACACCCTCCTACGTCTGTCCAAAAAATCAACAGTGAACCTTGACTCATCTGAAAACATCACATTGCTCCAGCGTCGATTATCCCAGTGTTGACGATCCCTACACCAACGACGTCTTGCCTGAATGTGATGATCTCTCAAACAACGGATCACGCGAGGACGTCGGGCGCGAAGTGGACCCCTATGCAGTCGATTCCGATTCGTCTGGCCACTCACTCTCAAACCAGTGTCTGTTTGAAGACGAGCGCTGATCTGATTTGCTGTGATGACACGATTTCTCAAGGCCAAGGTACGGATAAATGGATCCTGGACTTGAGTTGTCGCCCTTGGTCGACCTGAGCGTGGTCTGTCCTGTACAGATTGTGTATCACGGTATCTGGACCATAGCCTGCTTATGACAGACTGAGAAACATTCATCGTCCGCGCCACAACCGCCTGTGTTGTGCCGATCTGTAGCATGCCAAGGGCACGTAACCTTTCATTTTGGGTAAGCCGACGCATATCAAAATTTGTTTTCTGGTCACTAAAACAATTAAACTGATGTTTCCACCCTGGAATTCAATGCCACAATGACTAACATTCAAAGTCAGAGTCGTGCAAATCTTGGGTTGGACCCCCATGATGATCCCAAGCATCACCTGCATTCCATGCGGTAGCTATTGGTGCGTTTGGGCGTCACATGTAACTGGAAATGTTTCTTCTGTTAGGTTCTATAGTGACTTTTTTCGTAGTCATTTGCATATTTTAGTATTATGCCCCCAAAATCAAATATCCCCTACTTTTTTTGAATAGTATATTTGGAAATTGAACAGTGCTTGAGGGAAAAATATGCCAACATCCTGAAGGAAGCTCATCCTAGTAAAATATGCATGTCTTTTGTAAAAATAATGAACAAGATCTCACCTGTCATCGTATGTGATGAGATTAATGGCCACACCAAGATGGCCATATCTTCCCGATCTACCAATTCTATGTAAATAAGTTTCCGCATGTTTCGGGAAATCAAAGTTTATCACCACATTAACTGCTTGAATATCAATACCTCTAGTAAACAGATCTACAAACAAAACAATTACTAATAATTTGCTAGAAAATAAAGTGTAATATCCACAGGACTAATCTGCATGCTATGAGCAGGCGAAATTCCTTCATTAAACCTTGTTCTCGGAAATTCTTCCCAAGCTTTTCAAAGATTTCGGATGAAGGTCTGCATTTTGTTCAATTGTAATTTTTAATGCATAGTGGTTGGCTCCTGATATATATGAATAGTAAGTAACAGACATGTTCAATAGATTTACACCATACATTAACTCCTGTGGCACTAAACTGTTTTCAGTGAAGTCAATTTTGTCGATCAGCTTTATATTCAGTGGCTGAAACTTCAAATTCATCATAAAACAGTCGTGTTCTATCATTTTCCTTGAGAAATATCAATGTAAGATTACTAACCTGAACAGACAAGGTTACGACACAGACCCTGACGAAAATCGTGGAAAACTCTATTTCTATGTTGTTGGTTCATTTTAGCGTGAATATAATAACATGAATAACCCAACTCCGTTATTTTCTTGGCCAGTAATTCCACACGTTGAGTCGAATTACAAAATATAATAGACTGATTTATTTGTAACTGAAAGATAAAATAACAAATTTAAACTATAAGCATACTGACCAGTTCTATCATGAAACAAATCAAATCAACCTCTTCACACAAAATCTAGTTTAAATACAATATATCTAAAACAATTTCTAAAGAAGACCCCCTTTCATTACATTCCTATCGGGTGATCGCTTATTGAGTAATTAAATCAACACTAAATTTTGGCCAACAAAAAGTGAAAGGCATTTTTCATTAACACAAACTAGGTCATTTTGAGACTAACATATGGCATACTTTTATTCAAACAGTTTGCATTGGGAGGAAACCAGAGCTGTCAGAGAAAGTGCATGGGGTTAAGAACGGCAACTTTTAATCCTTGCCCCATTAAAGGTGTGGAACAGAACTCGGAAAATCGAATAGTACATAAAGCCTGGGATTAAGGCACCCATCACAGACATTGTGAGGCAAAAATTCCCTTTTGTTTATGTCAGTTTGTCAATTGCTGTGTTCTTATTGACATTCTTATTACATGTCTGGTATGAAGTAGTGTCTGACCATTTATTTAAAACTGATGACATTCTGTATGATCTACTGTTCACATTTAACCACTCAGTAACCTACTACAATTTAATTGACAATCTGAAAGTACCTTATAAACTGAAAATTTACATCAGGAACTTTACCTTAGAAAAGAGTGTATTGAGACAATGGACTTTTTGTCTCTCCTGAACAAAAGCATAATACTGTGTAACACCTTTCAATGTTAATTCATCCATTAAATTAATCTCGTAAGGATTGTTCAAATGTCGTCGCTGAAAAACATAAATACTTTCATATTTTATCAATGCTCACAATAAAATTCACAATCTACGATTTCACATGAAGTAAAAAGATTATTTTCTATAACAATTTTAAACAGTTCCAGCAGATTAATCAGCATCAATAAGTAAACAGAATGGATTTGGGAGACTTGGATTGAAATTAGATGTTTTAGTCGTGCATATTCAGACAGGTATGCAAGATTTTACAAATAATGACCAGCAAAGGTGATAAATAAACTTACCATAAATTCTTCTACAGAACAGGGAAATGTAGCTGAATAGAGTAGAATCTGTCGGTCATTAGGTAGATAACTGATAATATTATCTAACATACCTTTAAAATCTTGAGATAACAGTTTATCAGCCTGAAAAATAAAGGTTATGTTTTAAATAAATTTCACGTAGAAGTGAAGAAAATGAACCCTTCAGATACCCTTTAAAGGGTTGTCGAAATCAACAAATAGTGTTTAAAGACCAAACAATGCAAGCCTACCTCAGAATTATTGGTGCAAAAATGCCTATGTTAATATATCGTAATAATCTCAAACCATCCTTATGTGTCTGTAGAGTTTGTATCTGGTAACATTTCTGGAAATTGTTATTCTATTTAATGTCTGCCTTTATTTTATTTTTGTGAATAGCCAATTTGTTACTTTACTGAGCAATACAGCTTATCTTAACTCGGGTTAGACAGACACACATGAAACCTTAGGTACATGTAGGTTGCAGGGCTGAAATTAATTAACCACATTTCAGCTTCTCTGTACGTTGGATGCATTTGGTTAAACTATACTAGAATCAGGTGTAGTGTTGAAATCAGGATTAAAGGGATGAGGATTAGTCCTAACTCAATGGAATTAACTGCAGAAACAAATACTAAAGTCAGTCTGATCAGGGGCCCCGTTTCACAAAATTTTAACTAAGATAAAATCCAAATTTTATTAATTTGATTGGATAATATTAGGTTGATTTTAGTGCTTAGCCAATCAAAATTGGAAATATCTAATAAAATTTGGATTTTGTCTTTAGTTATTTCTGTGAGTTCAATCAATCGCCCTTTAACATTTAACTAGACAAGCAGTTTTCAAATGGAAATGAAATGTATTACCTCATCTAGGACCAGAATACCACATTTACTGATTTTAACCAGATTTTTATTCATGAGATCAAGTATTCGACCTGGAGTGGCAATAATAGCATGAACTGAAAAAAAAACAAACATTCAACAAATTATTACAGTGTGATTAATAATAGAACAGTAAATAAACTTTTATTTCTGAGGGCTAATTATAGATCAAACTAATTTTTTTTTTTTAAATACAGAAATATCTTAAGCTAGATTAAAAGGAACTTTAGGTGAACTGTTCTACAGTCTTCGTATATTAATGGCATATTCTTAATAGTGTCTATGTCATCAACAGTTAATATCAATAGTTTTTAATAAGCTGTCATAAGCAACCTACCAATACATGCCATATTAGCAAGATGGGGAAAGTGTGCCTTGGTGATCATTTGTCCCCACAGATTTTACATACATGTATGGTAACATTTTAAATAGATGCCAATATAAGATATTTGTCACTAAGAATATTCTAAGACCAGATAATACACACAAGTCTGTTATAAATAATCTTGGTTTTAATTTTGCCAGTTCTTCTAAACTATAATCCAAAATAATAAAGACTTAGTATGGGGGAATTGGCTTTTGTAACAGTTCAACTCACAGAATTCAGTAGTAATGTTACATTAAAGTAACAATTTTGTTATGAATCCATAAAATTCGAATCATGTCAATTTAAATGCAAAATTTACACTGTCCTTTTAAAGAGAAACTGCCATTATTAAAGAGAAACTACCATTATTTACAGACCCTAAGGCAAAAAGGGGCACTTTCCCAAGATTTTATTTGAAGGCAATTATCACAGAAGTGAACAGTTAATATACTACTACTAGTCTATGAAAGACAAATGGATACCTGCTTAACGATATTTCATGTTCAGCAGGTTTAGTTAAGTGTCACTTATTGTTTATAAATTCTTGTTTTGAAGAAATCTTGAACTTGTTTTCAAAAGTAAAATTGTGTAGTACCTGGATCATATAGCCTCATGATGTCATCTTTAAGATTTGTACCACCAGTAGTAACCATAACTTTACATCCAACATGTTTACATAATTCAATACAAATCTGACTTGTCTGTAATGCTAATTCTCTCGTTGGTACAATTATCATAGCTGAAAAGTATATTATATTTGACAAATATCTATCTTCTCTTCTCGATGTTGGTTCAATTATCACAGCCGAAAATTATGATACAATATTACATCTGACAACCTTTTCCCTTAGCAAGGCATTAAACTGACATTTCTAATGAGCACTGCATACAGTAGAATCTGCATTAAGCAGCCACCCAAGGGAATTTTCACAACTGACCGCTTAACGGGAGTGGCCTCTTAATAAAATCTAGTTGCTTTTTGTGCCGACATAAATTAAATATTACGCTTGGATGCATTGGAAGCGGAAAATTTGGCCGTCGCTGAATCTTGCGCCGAACGAAAATTCTTTACTCAAATCTCGGACATAACTTAACGGGAGTGGCCTCTTAATAAAATCTTGTTGCTTTTTGTGCCGACATAAATTAAATATTACGCTTGGATGCATTGGAAGCGGTAAATTTGGTCGTCGCTGAATCTTGCGCCGGACGAAAATTCTTTACTCAAATCTCGGACATAACTTCTGTAAACTTGTCCTTTTGTACCAACCTTCGATACTACTGTCTACCATTGTGATGCATTCGATAATATTTATCCATTTTTGTTAAGAAAATCGATGAATTCATTTTATTTTATAAAAAAAGCACATGAACAAAAAACATCGCTAATTTTATCTATTTACAGGGGGTGTAACTCTGTATGTAATATTATAGGAGGCGCTAAGAGAGATACTAGATGATCGTGACAAAACTCGGTTATTTTATTTTATTCAATCAGTATCAAATAATGTGTCGTTAAGTGTGAAAACAATGATCAGGTTAGTCCTTTAATAAAACAAAAGATTAATTAACAGATAATCCCGGGCTGATTGTTATGTTTACATTTCTTTTTACCTGATCAGTGGGGGTCCAGTTAATTAACTACTACTCACGGGATTAGCGGGGGTGTTACAAAGAATGACAAGATGGTATCATTCAACAATGGCCGTTGAATGGGCGATGTTTTGTTGAATTTATTAGTAAAATAGTGACCACTGGCCGCGTTAGAGGAGTGACCGTTGAATAAAGAGATGAAACAGAATTTCTACGGGGGGAATTTATCGTGACCGCTTACAAAGAGATGTCGCTGAATAGGAGTGGCTGCTCATACAGATTCTACTGTATTTCTAATGCTGCATTTCTTGAATCAGAAAGGTGAATTTGATATGCATGGATAAAATTAGAACATGGAAGTGACACGCAGCAATGAAAAAGAAAAGAGGCTTAGCAATGAAATATACGAGTACAATGTCATTCATTATTAAAATAATATCAGTTAGGCTTGACCGCACCGGGCTCAAAATATTGGATTCTTCAGATTGTAAAGAAGATCTATAAAGAAATGTCACCAAGATCATTTCAGAATCGAAAGTAAAAAAAACAAGTCTGTCATAAATAATCTTGGTTTTAATTTCGCCAGTTCTTCTAAACTATAGTCCATAATAATAAAGACTTAGTATGGGGGAACTGGCTTTTGTATAATTTGATGCTTTATACAAACAAGCAAAGAGACGTCAATAAATAACAGCTCTCATTCAATAAATTTTAACGAAGATAAAATCCAAATTTTAGTAATTTGATTGGATAATATTAGACTGATTTTAGTGCTTAGCCAATCAAAATTGAAGTATCTACTAAAATTTGGATTTTATCTTTAGTTAAGATTTCGAGAAACAATTTCTTTTTCAGAAGAGACTGAGAAATCTGTGCCAAATTGAGAAACAGTTTGACAAATAGCCAACTCTTCATAATGTCAATAACAATTTATCAGTAATAATTAAAAACATGGTTTATTTCCAGGCTTAGTTTGAGAAAAATAATTATTTCAACTCACCTTGAACTTCATCTTTATTAGGGTCACAACGTTCTAAAATAGGTATAGCGTAAGCTCCCGTTTTACCCGTTCCATTTTTAGCTCTAGCTAAAACATCTCGTCCTGTAAGGGCAATAGGTATACTTGCTTCTTGAATAGGGGACGGTTTCTCCCACCCCTTTTCAAATATACCCATTAATAACTCTCTCTTTAAACAGAAATCTTCAAATTCGTTGCCTTTCGTATTGGTCACATCCTGAAGACAAAAAAATACAAAAGTTATAAACGTTTGCTTCAAGGAAACCAAATAGTGTTTATCTGGTACTTTTATCAATTCTGGAAAAATGAAAATTTGAATAAAATGGAGAAATTTAATTAAAATATTTTTGAGGTTTACAAAAACTTGTATCTTAGATTTTTGTCACGAGTACTTTTAAATAGCAGTGAAATTAATCTGCGGAAAATAGTATCAACTTATACCCAGAAAAATACATGAGATTGTTAACAACTGTCACATTCTTGTGAGAAAATGTCTTGATATAATCTCACAAAATACATTGGAAAGTTGCTAACAGTCTAAAACTAATAAGCAGTAATTGTATTCCATAGAATTGTGACCTGTATAGGCAAAAGTATGAAGAGGGAGTCCAGTTCTCGACACATTTCAGATTAGTGATCATACTCTATTATTTTGTAGAGCAAAGCCCATCTTTCAAAACTTTATTGAATCTTTTCTTCTACAACTTACCGTGGTTCTTACTCGCATGTCTTTTTCTGGTAAATTTAACTTTGCTTTCCATCCTTGGTCACTAAAAATAAATAAAACAGTAAGTGCAATTTTATAATACAAATCCTTTGAGGCTTTTCTTTTGCTATACCAAGGGGTATTGATAAGTGAACTACTTAGGTCTGGGAACTTATTCACGAAAACTTAAACTAAGATACAATCGAAATTTTAAGAAATACTGCAATTCGATTGGCTGACCAGTAAAATCAATTTGCATATATCCAATGAAGTTGCAGTATTTCTTAAAATTTCGGTTGTAATTTAGTTTAAGTTTTCGTGAATAAGGGCCCAGGGTCACGGCAGCATTACCTAACTGTATGGAATGCACTCCAGCAATTATTGGAGAAATTTGTAGAGCAGAGTGCTAAAAAAGAAAATAGATGTATCATTTAATGTGAAATTCCTTCATAAGATCTATAGAGTAGAGGCCATCAAAAGTATGAAAAAAAACAAAAAATTAAAAAAAAATTGAAATCTATTTTATATCGAAGTTCATGCCAAAATGACAAAAGACTTACTTAGAATTTGATGCTGCCTTGGGGTCCTTATTTGGATTTGCGTGATTAGTCGAATTCTGCTCCACTAATGGAGTAGCCATCATGGCAATATATGTTTGGATAAACTTTCACAAAAATTCACTTGAAAAACACAACAGCCCAGTTAGATACTAAAAAATGAAAATACAATCCCATTATTAAATAGATCATTATGTTTCAATCCCATTGATCAGCTCAGGGATAGAACTTTATTTGAAAACACACAAGCAAAATTTTGCTTGTTGATTTCAAATGTACAAGCAAAACTAAGATTCTAAAGAAATTCAAGGGGCAATTTTTTCTTTAATGAAAATACTTTTATTATCTTTGGATTACATGTACAAGCTATGTTATACATTGGAGTGTACACATATTCCTTACAATTTCATTAAAAAGCTAATGGCTAATAAAACACAAGAATGAACACACAAAACTGCCCTCAACACTAGAGCTGGGCGATATCCCTGAAAACATTGCGATATAATCACTACATGTACATTGCAATATTTTATAAAATGTCAATACTTTCAGTTTATCAGGGTTTTTTTTATTTAATGTAAATAAATATGCATAAAAAGTTGGGAATACCACTTGACACTTTCTAGTCAATATTATTATTTCTAGTCTATATTATTTTTAGCATACAGTACTGAATTTACAAACAAAATTTACAAACTTGCAAAAGTTGTTGTTTATAGTTTTAATTTTCAAAATATTAATTATAATATTTTATTTAAATTAAAAATGGCGGAGGCACAAAAAAACATAAAAAAAAGTTTGTGTTCTTTCGTCCGTGCATATTTATTTTTATAGCTACCCTTGAAAACTCGTTTTTTTCTCACTCAAGCGTACACCTTCTTGAAGATGCATTATATAATACATGTACAAGGATAGTAAATTAAACTATAAAACATAAGTACTTATGTCAAAAAGTGCCCATTGATGTCAAATACTGAAATAGCAATTTTTCGGATCACGGACCGCACGTCCGCTGAATGATAATCACTAATCAATCAGTCTACCGGAACTCTCAAAATATATAGTTGGCAATGTTGGCATTTATATTTCTGCATTATTAAAATCTATTTCAATCTGAAGTGAAAATCAATGATTCCTTTGGAAAATCAAAGTATCGAATAATCGATATGAGCAATTTGTCGAGATGTATAGAAATTGAACAGAAACAGGGATAATGCTAACGGGTGGAAAAGTGAGCGAGAAGTCACGTGACGTAAACAAAGCTCCTTATCGGCATTTGCAACTTGTGGAATGAATACTGGAGTTTATAACAGTATTTATTCATCAAGCAATAAAATATCGTAAATAACATCAAAAGGAAAACATTTTTTCAATACTTATGTTAAACATCATCCAGAAAAATCAAAACGGTACGTGTTTTTTACTATTCAAACTGTGTCGCGTGAAAGCCATTCGCCAATAACGTACATTTTTCACCGATGTCGGAATTTGTTTGATGGAATAAAACGACAATAATGAAAGGACAGATGGTCGAACACAAAAAAAAGGTCAATTATGATATGTGTGTATATTGTTTTTTTTTATTGAATAATCATATTCAGTAACAATAAGCGAAAAAATGTTACATATGACATATTTTGTAACATGCTGTCTACAAAATCAACACTCATTTTGAGTGTTAGCGTCTGTCAAATTCGATCCCTGGATCAGCTCATGATATGCTTACTTGGTAGAGGGTGCCTCAATTGAATCTCCATTGATAGCAATGGAAATTTCATGCTGGTCGTCTCTAAGGTTACAAATCTAAATTTTGCTCTTAATCATAAAATACACTACTATTGACTGGGTAAGTGGGTTTTTATAATCAATACGATTGGCATCAGAATTAATCACACTGGAAGTGGCAGGTTTTACAGTTAAACACTTGCTAATTACATGCATTACACTGACACTGTACCATGACCATGTATTGTATTATACATTAATTTCTAACCACTTTCTATACACTTTTGAGTAATGACATATCATTTAATGGTTCATAAGTCATCAGTTTCACAGTGGCAATAAAATCCCAAGTAAAAGAACAATCAATGATTTATGAATCAAGTTTGCAGGAATTAACAGAAAAGTGAGATTTTCAATGTTTTAATCAAAATACGGTTATTAATTATTTTGTCTATCAGACAATATTCTACTTTCCAGCTGCCCCTGGTTTACACAGTCCATTCCACCGTTTCTAACAATCAGATACCACAGTGAAATTGTTTACCCCGGTCCACAATTTAGGCAGGGACATAACATTAACAGTAGGTCAGCTGCTGGGTCACAGTGGTGAGTGATGTGACTCACCACAACAAGGATCTCAAGAAAGAAAATTTGAAATGTCTTGAAATGACTCAGATGGGCTAATTAATTAACAAAATACTTGATCATAATAGTTCTGTTATCTGGATAATATTGTACTAAAATTCTAATACTTCAGAGACTAACAAAGAATTCGATGAAATAAATCTGCTCTACCAACATTTACCTCTTATAACAATAACAAAATTTCACAGAAGTAACGACGCTTTCGGTTTTTCGCTACCGAAGATATACCTTATCCAATCAAAAAATAACAAACTTAATTAACAGACAAAAGAACAATCTTGATGTTTTCTTTACTATCAATACTCTAGAGACCGTCTTAACACAGTGATGGCAACGGATTTAATATTGTTTCCACCTACCTAGTAAAATATCAAATATGGCCGTCAATACAGGGGGCGCTGTCGTTGGTGCCGAAAAATCAGACAACATGTTTCACAATGAACACTGGCTTGTTATTTTCAAATTTTAAGTAAATTTTGATGGATAAAATCGATGTAGAATCAGAGGAATTATGAAACAATTAAAACATTTTCAATGTATAGAGGCCAATTTATTGTGTCGACGTTTGACCGGGAACTGAAAGTGTCTAAGGTCAAGGCCATGTAAACAACAACAAGAAGAAAGCAGTGACAGGGCTGTGACATGTAAATTCATGTCTTAGATTGTCTTTCGGCTGGCATGTTCATCTTGACATTGTTATCACTGACATTACATTTTCAGGTCAGAAATTGTGGTTTGAGTACGAATGCATCATAAAAAAATATATTTATGGAACAGGGGTAGAAGATTTTATTTTTAAGAATATATTTACTATTAATATATTTTTTTTTTTATTAAGAATTTCAATTGACAAGGTTATAGGTAAATCTAAATAAGGAGGGAAGAACCTTTTTTCCTTATCATATATTTATTTTAATATATTGAAAACGACCAAATAATTATTCATAATTTTTAGAGTATTCAAAATTCATTTTTCATAAAATGTAAAACAGGAGGATAACCCACAAAAAAAAGCATTTAAAAGTGTATTATTGCAGCTTAAAAAAGGGTCGGACAGGAACGGTCAGAGGACTTTGTCTGTTTAGAGATGTTCTGTAAGGAACTTTCTAGTGTTTGCCATGATCAGCTGTATGTTTACATTAAATCTCATGTACAGTACTTAGGGATCGAACATTGAAGAAACTGATTAAGATCTGTTTAATTTGTAGGAGGCAATCCATAAATGCAATAGACGAAAACAAGTGAAGTAGGCCTAATTAAAGAGTTAAAAATATATGACAATGAATGTATTAAACACAAAGTTATAGCATAAATTCTTTTTTTCAAGTCCAACCTTGTGGGTTTTCTCCGGTTCCTCCGGTTTCCTCCCACTGCTCTAGACCCCTACGCGCAAGCGAATTATTGAAATAAAATTGAACCATGTGTTAGTCCCGAAATGACCTAGTTTGTGTCGAGTGGACGTTAAACCCCATTTCCTTCTCTCTCTCTTTTTTTTCAAATTACTATATTATGCTCTAAGTAAAAGATAGTAATTATAGTAATATGTAGTTCAAAGTGATACCAGAATTTAACCTTAAAGGAGCTAAATCGCTAATATTTGGGACCTAGAAATTGACACAAATGGATCGCAACTCACAATGTATATAATAATGTAATATGAATTTATATAAACTGATTTACATTAAATTTTTTCCATTTTTACTCTAATTGCAAATCAGTTATGTTTGGCGAAATACGCAGAAGTAGCCAGCCATAAATGTCCACGGTGCTGTACAGCGCCTGGCCTGTAATGATACAGGCTTGATTCAATCGAACTGAGAAAGAAAACAATGATTAACTAGAAAGACGCAATATTAATGCGACTGATCTTGACAGTGGTCATCTCCTGAATGGTGTTTGTTGATGGTGCAGGTCTGCCATTTGTTGTCACGAATTTAAATAGAAAATAAACAATAATAATTGCAGTTACATGGATAGAATTTTAGAAAATGCGAAAAAGTAATAAATAAAGAAAGTGTAATGAGTGAAAACAGGAGCAAAGTCCATCTACCAGAACATATATTGTTCAGTACAAATGACCAAAACTCCACTCTAAAAGTAAACATAGGAGGACCACACAACACACAAATAAATAAAACACAATAAATACATATAAATTTACTGCTTTTAATGTTGAGAAATGGTTTTTAAAATATATTTGAAAATGGGAATAAGGCTAAAAAATTCACATTTTTTTGAAAAAAAAAATCACATTTTTTTGAAAAAAAAATGTCTTATTTATCTAAGGTAAACAGCCGTCAAAATTTTGAATGAAGAGCATTGCTCAACACGTAAGATTGAAAATAAGTGTATTAATAATAAGATAGGCTCTAGCTACATATTTTGATTATTTTTTCTCTTTTTGTATTTCAGAAATCTATGAAAAATCAAGTGCAGTTAGAATATTATTATTTGGAGCTGAAATATAGAAATGGCTGCGAAGCGACAAACTAGTGTACCAGACCTTGAGACATATAAAGCTAATGATGGTGTCCAGAAAATTAGAATTAAAGAGGTAAAATGATGATAGAAAATAAACAAGAATAATAACATTTGAAGGGATATGTCTCAGATACATAAATGAAATGAGATAGGTTTAACATTTTGACTTTCTGTTCCAACCAGGTTAATAAAGGTAGCTATACACCATGCAGTGTGCTGTGAAGGAAATCTTTCAAAGGCAGATGGGCTATTATAGCTTACTCTTATTTCGATTTCAAACTGTCAGGAGATCTTTAACATGTTACCAATGATTTACATAGACCTTGTTTTTTTTTCGTTTCATCCAAATGACTGGACACCTCTCTGTGCACTGTCAAGGGGAAACCAGGATGGGAAAATCTAGGGATTGAAACCAGGATCACCTGGTTAGTAAGTCAACACCTTATGGACTGAGCCACCCTGATGTATAAACATACTAACTAACCATATATTTTATTCATGACCATTCTCTGAGATTTTTCTACATTTTATTACCTTGTGTTATCCTACAGTTAACCTATTATATTATGGTAGAATGAAATAGTAGACTCAGTTAAACATACATTATGTAAGAGCTAAATCTGCCTGTTGCAGGTCTTTCTTTAAGGCCTGAAATGTTATATAAACTATTAATTAGACATTTATTAACAAAACAAGACCATAATCAACTCTCGATGGTATCGGATACTTGAGATTTTAATTAGATTAGAACGGTTCGCTGTTTAAAAATTTTATTTTAAAAATGGGAAATTGAGACTAAGTCTCGAATATACCAGTGCTCTGGTTACCACAATGCACACATCTTGTCAAAACTACAAACAGTGATAACTTGGGTTAGAATAAAGTAATTTAAATGAAATTTTCAATATTTTCATTTTGCATTATCTATTTTTGAACTATTATAGTATGAATGGTCAGCTCTTTATTTAAATCTTAACTAATGTATCTTTAATCAGTCAGTTCTCTCTCTTTAAATATATGTCCTAACCTGGTGCTAATATATTGACTGAAACTGAATTTCAAAATAAATTATATCTACAGTTTGTGTATGATTGGGGTTTTTTTTCAGTTAGAAGATGAAGTTTCAAGTTTAAAGAAAAGACTGGACGATTTACGTAAAGCCAAAAATACAACAATTCTAAAACGTGAACGAGAGGTTCTTGAAGTAGGAACTCCATTTGCCAAACGGTTTGTTAAATTTTCATACAAAACCCCAATTTATTTCCAGAAATGTATGGTTAGTAATATTTGTCTGTGGTTGATCACACTGTCTACAGGATGTGAAGCTGTAGCAACCTGGATCCAATTTTCTGCACTATATAAGAGCTGACATATATTCAGAACAGCTGCAGTTCAGACGGCTGGCATTGACTGTGTTATGCACATGATGTTTGAGAGTCTATACATCGAGCAGTGGACTATATTTTTGTGTGACTGCAGCAGCTTTATTTTAATTGTTTGTTTACAAAAGTAAGAACATGACACAATGATAAAGCTAATCTGTTTCACAGAGGTATTGTGAAAGCCTTCTTATACCTCTGTATTAGATGACTGACCTTTATAAGTATGCCTTCTACAGGTGATGTCAGATCACAGGGTGTCCATCATTGACTCGATGGTGCATGCTTTGTTTACATAAGACATTGTTGCGTTAACTGTTCTGGGCAGAATGGTGCCTTTTACTCATTTTATATGCCTATTGCCATTTACACTAACTAGGAAATATTTTTTATCTAGATATATAGTTTATTTTTTTTCTAATACTTCAAAAAAAAAATGTTTTAGGATATAATTTTCAGATGGAAAAAAGTTAATATCCTAAACTTATTAAGCCACACCGATGTCATCCCTCTCACTGATTGTAGCAACCTAGCAAATATTCACTGCTGATCAGTGTGTGATTCATGTCAGATGTCAAGTACTTGCATACACTACACAGTATACTATGAAGGAAATTTTAGTTGCTACAATCTATTTTTTTTAATTTGATTTCCAACCGTCAGGAGATGTCTAAAGTAACACTGACAAGGAGAAACCAGACTGCAATTTCCTGAGAAACTTTATTGGACAACACATGAAATAAAACTGGAACCTTCTGGTTACTGAAGCAGCACCATCCTCGCTCTTTATCTTGAACTTACAATCATAATTACTGTCTAAGCTTTAACATACTCTTATACGGAAATGATCCCAAGTGGCATTTAGTGATTGACAACATTAAAACACAGTAGCCATTTGTATGGCATACAATTACTGGTTTGTTATACATATTGCATGAAGTTTCGACAAGTGCTGTATTAATGTCTTTTATGCTTCTAAACATCAAGTTCCCAACTTCGTCTCAGGCCCAATTTGTGCAGTCCCCTAATTCACCCGGCGACCAAATTTGCCTGGGGCCCAAATTCGCCCAGGGCTCAAATTTGATGACCTAAAACATGCTGGTTAATTTGATAGCGCTTATGTTGGGTTGGAGCGCAGTGACGCAGCGTTATTTCCCCAGGGCCCAGTTCCAATTCGCCTGGGGCCCATATTCAATGGCCTAAATCATTCACAGTGACATGCTGGTTAATTTGCTACCACATATTGGGGGGGGGGGGGGGGCGTGGTGACGAAGTGCTAGGGGCAAACTTACACACATACATACAAACATCTATGGAATCATATTTAATATATACTATAGCCCAGTGATTGTATTCGATATAAATGGTCAATATTATGTTGCTGAAAGTGAATAAGTTGGGCTTAGCGACACTGTATATGTCTGTTCCGTATTCACTAATAGAATTAATAATCTCCTACACTTGATGAATAATCCTAAGTTTTATTATTTACAGTGATTCTAAAGATGATTTAAAAGTCGCTAATTTAGAGAAAAAATTACAAGCAACCGATCAAAAACGTGACAAGGAGATGGATGACCTACGTAAAAAATTTGCTTCGGAAATGGAGGCCTTGAAACGATCTAATCAAAAAGTAAGAAATAGTTTTAAGTCATTATTTTGTTTCTTTAGGCCGGTATCTAATTTTTCACAGCTTTATCCAATCTAAATGGTACAAGAATGTTTATTTAACATATAATTAAGAATCCAAAACCAAAATATCAATCAGATTAAAGAAAAGCAGAGTTGAGCATCGATTGTATGCAGCGTTATTGCCACTGTCACTGGCACCTTGTAAACACATATTAAACAAATAGTGGACATATTAGTTGCCTGAAAACACTATGACAATTTGTTATGAAAGTCTACATTTGATTGCAGTCTTAGATTGTTTTTATTTTATTTTAATGATCTGTCAAATCAGGAAGAAAATTGTAACCATGAAGCCGAATTTTCCATGTTAAAAACAAGAATAGAAGAACTAGAAGCTGATAATGCAGCACTCCGAATCCATGGAAACGAACTTTTCGAAAAGGTGAAATCCTTGCAGAATGATTTAAGCATGAAGGAAGCACATTGGTGTAAAAATGAGGAAAAGTTAAAAATACAGGTAATAATGGCTTATCTCCCTTTTCATCATATGTTTTTATTTTTTACATGGATTTCCAGACAAACTGCAGTCATCAGCCGGTATTGAGAAAGTTACGTTATCGTATTGAGGACTTGGAAACAGAAAACAAAGCATGTCGATCTAAGAATGAAGAAATGTCCGAACAAGTGGAAGGTCTGATGACAGGACTGCTTCTTAAAGAAGCACAGTGGTGTGCTTTGGAAGAAGAGTTGACAACAGAGGTTTTATAAATTACCACTTGGTGACAATGTTCTCCTGCTTACCTCCCCTCTTTAGCTGCTTATTGTTTCCATGATGGCGTGTAGATTTAGAAGTCTTTTTTTATCTGTTCTTCTTTCTCCTTAAATCAGGTGTGTTACTATATTTTAATCCAGCCTTTTCTATTTTGGTCCTAAATTTTGACACTGTAACATTAAAGGACCTAAACCTTTGTCTCAATATTTTCCATAATATTCGAAATTAAAAACATGAATAAGAATTCAATATTGGCCCATTTCAATCAATATTAATGTTGTTATCTTGCCGTGAACATATAGGATCTTAATATCAAATATTTAAGAAACAAAGAACATTTTAAAATCACTACACAAGTCGTGTTCTCGATGATTTGGGCACCATTTGTAATTGACAAGAAAAACATCCTAAAAGACAATTTGGAAGTAATTAGTAATGGCTGATTCACAAATGACAAAATAATTATGAAGAAACATGTAATATGGACTAAGCAGGGCCATATGTGGTTTAATTTTGGTGTTTTTTGTTCCCATTTGTTAGATTGACTACCGGTACATATAAATAAAAAAAAATGATTAATCTATTGTGCTTGTGTATAATTAGCGTTCAATCTTGTCTGATTTTTCTAAACAATAGATTATATCAATTTAATTACAACTAAATATTGACTATATTTTCAACCAATCACAATCTGCATATTTTTCAATTCACCCTGTAAGGAAAGAGTGTGCCATATAGTATAGTAACAACAGTGTGCCATATAGTATGATCATTACTATATGACAACAGAATGAAATATTGGTAAAATTTTAAATCTGATTAAAACACAGGTCCTATTTCGTTTTTTATAGTTCAAAATTTCATTTTACTTGTCTTTACTACACTCGGATCTGGAAGAGTTGTTATCATTGACGAGTTCTGGATGATGTGAGGGTTAGCCAATGAAACAGTCTGTTACAGCGATCTTTTGACGTGTGCTGCATGGAACTGTGGGTAATCCACTAGAAAGATCAATGCTGATTGGTTGATCAAATGTCTGATGTCATAGGGGCAAAAGCCCCCCATATGACCTCTGACGCGACCAATCACCACTACAACCAATCAGATCTTCATGTAGTGTAGGCCATCGAAAGTATAAAAATGCGAAACGAAATATAGATCTGTATTTTAATCAGATTGTAAAAGTCATTAGACTTTTCAAATATTTAGTGGTACTATGCTCATTCCATGTTCTTCCTACTTTGATTGTACAGGTTCATTTATTTGTAAATTTGAATTGAGCACTGTAGACATGGTTTTACACAGCTTTCCTACTATATGCAACACCAAAGATATTCTTTGTAATAATTCTCATGTAATTAGTTGAACTGACAGTTATCAATACAGCATGGCAGTACAGACTAGTCAATTAAAAATTAATACACAGTTTATGAAAACTATCAACTATTAAGGCTTTCCTGATCCCTTTCATGAACAAATAATAGGCCTTTGATGGGAAAAACAAAGAATTTTATTTATTTTTTTGTGGGCCCTGACCATAGGCAACCTCAATGTGCCCAGGGATGGGGCTCTTGCCCAAGCTACATGTATCTCAGACTCATCTTTATACATATACGGGAGCCATGGTGGCTCAGTGAGTAGAACGTTGGCTCTCTAACCTGGAGGTCCTGTGTTCAATCCTTGCATTGGCCAACAAAGTTAATTGGGATTTTCAGGCATGGTCACCCCTTATCAGTGGTGTAGGACGGAGGGTCTGACAAGGGACAACGTTTAGTCGTTCTAAGGAGACAAAAAACCGAGGCCAGTTGTAAATATTGGTGTGCACGTAAAAGAACCCTTGATAGTTGGAATTTGAATTAACAGTAGGTCATAGTGTCGCTGTCTGGGAAAATTTCCCTCATAGCACACTGCATGGCGTATGCCCATCTTCATTAGCCCAGTAGGACGTTAAACCCTATTTCATGTCATTTCAATTATACATATAAAGTATAAATACATCACAAAGATCCTTTGATTTATTTTGCACTACACATACCTGTTGAAATTATCAGTAGATTGCCATTAGTGAATCCAAGGCTAATTTTTACTTTCATTATCTGTAACTCTTTATATATAACAAACTAAATTATGTCATTTTACTCATTGTTTGTTACAGTTAGAGTTGCCAGTTACATTTCAAATTTTTGTTAGATAAAATCTCTTTTAAAGATGCATTATGTAAGAGCTAAATATGCGTATTGCATGTCTTTTTTCTAGCTTAAATCTTAAATGAATTATTATCTAGACATTTATTCACATGATAAGCCCATGATTAACTCTCTAGGCATCAGATGGCTTAGATCTTGAATGGATTAGAACCCTCTCGTCATTTAATAATTTAATCATAAAAATGATAATCAAGACTTTGTGTATTATCGTAGCAATGGTATTGATAAATAAGACTCATGAAAATTTCAAAACCCATAACTTTGCTCAGAATAAAGTAATTTGACTGAAATTTTAAATATATCCATTTTACATTATGTATTTTTGACTTGTTATAGCAAGAACGAAGAACAACCAGCTCTTTATCTACATCTTACATAATGCATCTTTAAAAGTCTTGGATCAAGAGAAAATGTGTTTAGTCATTTCAGTTGGACACAAAAAATATGTGCTTGTAAAAAATCCCCTGGTAGTAAAAGAAACAAATAACCATGTGTTAGTCTGAAAATGATAACAAATCAACTACTATACCAGTGTTACAATTTAGTATAATTCTATTAATGATCTATTAATAGTTTGCTCAAAGTATACTTGAAGGACATGTAATTGTAATATCTATATGAATTAGTATAAATAAGAATTTAAAGATTTAATGTGTTTTTTTTGTTTTCAGTTGAAAATATCAATTGGTGAGAAATATAAAGACTGGATGAATACGACTGAAGCTAAGATTAAAGAATTGCAAGAAACTAATGAAACTTTGTAAGTTATTTTCCTTTACTATTAATACTTTAGCTAAACAATGGGGAGAGACATCTTCAACAGAAGGCTTGATCAAGCCCTTCATGTAATTCCCTACATATTTTGTCACTAATTTCGATTGGCTACTAATGCAGCTTGGATACTCTCAAATTCCTTGATAGGAAATATCACGAATACCAAGTCTCACACTTTCAGCTAAAATGTCTACCTGGGATAATCGAGTTGAAAAGTTCAAGGTTCGTTCAATGTCAAGGTTTCCATGGAGTGGGGTCCCCATGTTTGCTTCGAGTGTGTTTGTGCCACTTCCTCTTAATTGGACAATGCTATTGTTTACGTGTCAGTGGTAAAGGGAGATAACATAGCTATAAGTTCGGGAATTTCTTACTAATCTAGCAACAGCTAAAAATTCCCATAAAAATTGTGTTCTGTCAACAGCTAGATGTTGTAAAACTCGCGGTTGTTGCTTTAGGAACAGGGTGGCTGTAAGGCGTAAGGTCCAACACGCATGTTTTTAGATTAGGATTGTGTGGTGACTGTGGTGTGGTTCCAATCCCAGGCTTATTTGTGACAAGGCCGGAGTAGGGTTGCCTTCCTCACCTCATGGATTTTCACATTGTACTCCTGTTAATTCCTACACTAAACACCCTTATGCACAAGCAAATTATTGAGTTGAGTGGACATTAAACCCCATTTCACTCTCACAACTGAAGCTTAAAGTAGCTAAGTCTCTAACTCAATATCATCCAAAATCTTCAACATTGAAAACACGATTTATTTGTATTTTTATTTGTTTTACATATTTGGGGATTAGTAGTCTGTTCAATCTGAACTTTTCTTTAAGTTACAGTTTCAGTGTCATTCAGATTGTTACGCACCTGAAGAATTATTTTGTGTTTTTGACTTAAAGTAGCTAAGTCTCTAACTCAATATCATCCAAAATCTTCAACATTGAAAACACGATTTATTTGTCAATTTAAATCAACAATATTTAATTGATATCCAATATTTAAGACAAAACAAACATTTTACCATTGGTACACGAATCGTGTACCATAGTGCGCTTCAGCCCCAGTTGTATCAAGAGACTCAAGGGACGAGGCTAGACACATTGCACCAAATCAAACGGCGTATGTAGACTGGAATAACCAGACGCTAGAAATTTGCACTCGCTTGAGACTGCTGGCTTATTTCGCAAAACATAACTGATTTGAAATTGGAGTAAAAACGGAAACCATTGAATGTAAATCAGTTTATATACATTCATATTACAGTATTATATGCGTTGCGACCCACTTTTGTCAATTTCTAGGTCCCAAACAAATGTTAGCGATTTAGCCCCTTTAAATATTTGGATTTTTTTTTTAAATTTAACAATGCGCCATTGGCATTTGTTGCTAGAATATCAAATTTCACACGGCTTAAACTGTACTCAGATTGATTACAGTATTTAACATTTAATTAAGGAAACAAAATCAAAATACCAAAGCTAGATAATGTCCCAGTTTGGATTCAATCGGATTTAAAACCGACCAATTATTAAATTTTCATGGACAACAAAATGATTGGGGGCTTATTGCATGGCGAGCAGCATATATCAATGAAATTTCAATTCCACATATGTTTGTAAATACTGAACAGAATTGAACCATTTTTGGACTGTTACGTCTTTTAGAGAATTACAACATTCTAGTTTACAAGTGATTCATATTGCTTAAAATGGTGCATTAGGACTTTAATTCAATGTTAACTTATCAATTTGACAACATTTTAGAATGGATTAAGCTATGAGAAATTGTATATTATCCAACAAATTGCAAATTTTGAACAGTGACTTTAATAGATATTATAATGTTGTTTTCCTGTATATGCTTTATATTATTACAGTATATTTTTTTTTTCAGACGAGGTTATTTAAAGAATAAGAAGTAATAATAAAATACCAGTGTTGATAACAATGGATATACAGATTACCTACCTTTACACCTTGCTCAATAATATATCTAGAAGAATATTCCATCGAAATATATTTTATATTACCGTAGTTGATATTATGTTATAGATCTCATAAAATCAAACATTCCGTCCAAATTAATTTACAAGATCATTTTCAATCCCAGACACAAAAAACATTCCCTTGAATTATCTCCATCTTTTGCATACCCTTTCACAAAATTTGCATATTTAAGGGCAATTTCTACTGACCTCACAGCTAAACAGGAATATTCATTTACTAAATTATGTATGTCCAGGATACATTTGAGGTTTTTTTGTTTATTAAGGCAATTACTGAATTAGACTTTTGTGTTTATAATATTAGTCTCCACTTGCAAATGACCTAGTTCTGAAAATGATTAAATGTTTCTGCAAAGCTAGTATTAAAATATTAGTCAATTTTAAAGGGCCAATCCCGATAATATTTTGGAGAATAAAACTGCTTAATTTTGTGTTAAAACTCCTTAATATCCCGTACCTAAGGGCCGATCAACTAATTCAATATTTGTGATATGTTTTCAAACAACTTACAACCGTCAGTCTTCATCTGGAAATGGAGACCGGTGTCCCAAGCTGTATTATGCGTTGTCTGGATAAAACAGACTTTTATTTTATAAAAACAATGTGTAGGTGAAATTTACGTTTCGTTATCCAGTACGGCACATGGGTCAATCACTGTATAGACCTCTAAAGGAACGGCGATAGATTATCTGGTCACCCAACGAAAAAAATGACCAGAAATCTTAAAATGGTTACATGTCCGGATAAGCATTTTTGACGTTCACGTCCAAACAACTCAATATTTTGAGCTGAAATTTTGAGGCAGGGTAAATACACCATTCCTCTATATTTTGGCGCTTAAATTTCATACGAACTCGGACTTTTATTTTTGAGACTCTGTTCAAATCGGGATAGTCCCTTTAACCAGGAAAGTTATGTATTTCATACATGTAGTCCAAGAATTGATTCACTATGGAGCAGGGCTTTTATTTCAGTCACCTTTGACGATCTTGACTGACTGACAGTTAAATTGACCAACTAGAGAACTTACCTGTCAGTCAACTGAGTCAATGTAGATACCAGAAAATTAGAATTTCAAAGACTTCAAACTTAAAATATGCATAAAAATTAGGATAATGCTAAAATTGACACTTTCTTTGGAAACAATATATCTTGCTGTTCCCAGGAATACAAAATAGCACGGAGCTACATCAGCTATCAATAGTTTGAAGTGAAAGCCCTGCTATGGAGCATTGAACCATAGAAATTTGTTGTCAGAGAAGTATTAATATAATTACCTTTTTAAATTCTTGTTCATGTATTAATTATTATTCACTGTTACTGTTGTAATAATAGCATGTCTTGCCTGTTAATTACTAACTACTAGTAGATATTATGGGGGACAGTAGGGAACATATATATATTGCATAAGCAGTACTCACAGATTGCATCTTTATTATTTTAATAATGGTATGCTAATTTGTGTCTCTGCTCTTCCCATTGACAGCAGGGCAGTATAATAATAAAACGTCCATTTATATCGCGCTAATTCCACATATAGTCGTGCTCACACTGGTCGAGAAGACATTGAAGGTTATTATTCTCAGATTTAGTCCAGTTTAGTTCATTTTTAGTAGAATTGCTCGCCAGTTGCTGGAAAATCCAGACTTGTTCTATACTATAGAATTATCTGTAGACCCAATAATCTGTAACCTTAAGGACACATTTTACTGTTCACCTGAAAAGTTTTGTCCTGTAGATATAAAACTTCAAGCAAAATCCTCTGGTGTGACTCAGGGCCCTTACTTTAGCTGATGGTGGGGGGGGGGCATGGTAGTCGAGCATTAAGAGCACATAACAGGGGTTGCATTGGCAGGGCAGACGTGGATAGTGTGCCTAGTCATTAAGATGGGATGGAAAACATGGGCAACCCGCCATTCTAATTATTAGTTATACAAATAGTCAACATCCCAGTTCACCTTGTCACATCCTAAGTTGATCTGTATTTTTATCATACTGATATTTTCATTTCATAATCTTCATTGTTTACATTAATCTATTTATTTTAATTCATTAGTATCAGATAATGAACATGATTTAATTATTGCAAATTGTATAATCTATCCATCCTTCATCTTTGTCATTCCGGTGGTCCATTTTCATTGGTAAGGGTTGGGTCAGTCTTCACTTCTATTGTTATATTGCAATCCTGTTCCGATCTGCTATAGGCCTATAATTGTTATTTGAAATACTTTTGTTTATAATCCATTATCTAGTAATGTTACATTTTTAGACCCATCCTTACAAAGGGTGGGTTATGTATAAGTTATCTCCCTAGCAATTCTAGACCCACCCTTACCAAGGATAACTAATGTATATTCTAGACCTGTCCATATAAAGGGTAGCTAGTGAGGTTATCTCTGTTGCAGTACTATTCACACAAGGGTAGCTGATGTAAATGTTATTTCCCAGCAATCCTACACCCATCCTTGTCAGTGAGGGTAGTTAAAGTTGTAGTTGTATGTTGACCAAAGGGAAGGCAAAAATCATTGTTACTTAACAAAGTACTAGTTTTTAGATTGTTGATAAAATGCAAGGGCCAAATTCATGTTACAAGATGAGATGTTCATTATATTATTACATAAATATATAAAATCTATTAGTTTAAATTAATCTAATGTTATATTTAATGTTATAATTATTCTAGTTATATATATTGTAATTATTCTAGTGTTATAAATATTAAAATTATTGACTCCGTCCCATTTATACATTTTAAGGTTATTTATTGCTTTGTTATTTAATATTATTTAGAAACTGCTGATATAAAAAAACAAAATATTTATGATTAGTGCTCTTTTATGCAAAATATTATTTTATGTCATGACATATTGTGTTTTATTACTCTGTCATGAAATATGATTTTGTATTACTCTTGTCATGAAATATTATTTTGAAACTGCTGATATAAAATATTTTAGTAGCATCTACAAGGAATCAACATCAACATGGACAGCACAGCAGATTATAAAGTAAAGGGTCTGACACTTTAATAGTATTAGTACTAAATAATCTTGGGTCATGCTTCATTAGAATTTTTTGTTAAATTTGACCCAATCTAAGCTTTCAATTTTTATGTGATTATATTTTTTATTTGTTTTACATATTTGGGGATTAGTAGTCTGTTCAATCTGAACTTTTCTTTAAGTTACAGTTTCAGTGTCATTCAGATTGTTGCGCACCTGAAGAATTATTTTGTGTTTTTGACTTAAAGTAGCTAAGTCTCTCACTCAATATCATCCAAAATCTTCAACATTGAAAACACGATTTATTTGTCAATTTAAATCAACATTCATGTTGTGATCTTACCGGAAAAAGATGGGCGTTTGATATCCAATATTTAAGACAAAATAAACATTTTACCATTGGTACACGAATCGTGTACCATAATGCGCTTCAGCCCCAGTTGTATCTAGAGACTCGAGGGACAAGGCTAGACACATTGCACCAAATCAAATGGCGTATGTAGACTGGAATAACCAGACGCTAGAAATTTGCACTCGCTTGAGACTGCTGGCTTATTTTGCTGAACATAACTGATTTGAAATTGGAGTAAAAACGGAAACCATTGAATGTAAATCAGTTTATATACATTCATATTACAGTATTATATGCATTGCGACCCACTTTTGGCAATTTCTAGGTCCCAAATGTTAGCGATTTAGCTCCTTTAAGAAGTTCATCTATTGGCAATATTTTTACATACAGTATAATTCAGTCATAAGAATTATTTGTATTTTTGACTTCTGGCTCATATTCTGGAGCAGATTTATAAACTTGTTGATTTATAAAAATCATTCTAATGTTTAAATCTAATTAAAATTAGTTAATACTTTTGTGGCGTTTCTTCTTTCATTTTTATGGGGTTTTTAATGTTTACACTACAGAAATATCTAACATCTTTAAAAAGTTTGTGGTCAACTGACCCAATCTGTTTCACAGAGATCTTCTAATATCTCTGTAACAGTTGACTGTTTCGACACGTGAGCAGAAATTCGCCCGTATATCCGTTATCACTCGTCACATCAGTTATATGGAGAGGTAACTCGTGTTTTCCTTTGGCGTTTGTCACTTCCGATTCAGGAAACCTGTATTACTCAGCTATCGTAGCAATGATCTCTGTGTTATAATTATATTTGGAATGTGTTTAACCATTTCTATCACATATGTGATAATGACTGGCACCAGTATTGTCCTTTAAGCTATAGCTGTCTGCTCTTTATCGAGCGTATACAAATGTTATAATGTATAATAATAGCTTGAGATATTGCTGTCTTGCATATGGAAGGTCCTTAAAAATTTAGTGTGATAAAAGGACTTTGGGTTAATCAGATGTCCTTAAAATAAACTGATTCACTGGTGCCAAATTTCTGGTAATCCCAGAAATACCGACTGTATTGGAGCCAAGATGGCTCGTTGGCTAAGGCGCTGGCTCACTGGCCAAGAAAGTTTCCCAGGATTTTCAAGCGTTGTTTTCCATCGTCGTTTGTCCAGGACGGATGGTACGAAAAACAGAGGTTTCGTGTTTTAGTTTTCTTGTTCATTGGAGATTTAATACTTTCAGATATTAACTTCTGGGGTTCAAACAAGTAACATAATTAATCCCGTGGAACACCTCTACAGTCCATATATAGGACTATAGATTTTCGAATCTGCTCACTGCTTATGGGATTATTGTATTGAAAACAAGGAGACAAAGGCCTCCCATGTAAGAACATCTTTTTGTTTCAACTGTACTACAGATATAAATAATATATCTTAACAAAGAGAGTAAAGAGATCAACCGATTTCAGCAGCTCTATTTGAACAGTTAACTATTTTGTAGGAAATTGAACAATTATTAATGAATTAAATAATTAAACGAAACAAAGACGTCAGTTTAACATTACAAACACATCAGTTCCGTGTTAATTTATATGGACGTCAGTGGTCTTTAGCGCGAAAAGTGGTGGCCATTCTAAAACGTTTTCAACTTCGATATCGGTACTCCTTAGCCGCTTTTTTTTCTGTGGAAGTCTACTAAGTTAGCAATCTAAATCTTTTTTGGTCCCAATTCAAAATCTTCCAAAATTGTTTAAATATGATTTTTCGATCTTGTTCTTTGATTTTACAACCTGCCTTGGTTCATCTAAACAACTGCAAGCAAGATGCATCTCTTTCGGTCCGATCAATTGTTTTGGACTTCTCACCTTTAGCCAAAACCATCCCTTTACAATTTTCACCACGCATTCGTTAGCTTGATTGTTTTTTTTTGTTTTGTTTTTTTTAAATTCTCTGTTCTTCTGCCCGTCTGGGTCTATTTCTTTTTGGTTTAATATCTCTTTATCATGGTTTAGTATCTCTGTATCTTGGTTTAGTACCTCTATATCTTGGCTTAGTATCTCTATACCTTAGTTTAATATCTCTGTATCAGGGTTTAGTATCTCTATTCCTTAGTTTAATATCTCTGTATCACGGTTTAGTATCTCTTTTCCTTAGTTTAATATCTCTGTATCACGGTTGAGTATCTCTGTTTCTTGGTTTAGTAGCTCTATATCTTGGTTTAATATTTCTGTATCTTGGTTTAGTATCTCTATATCCAGTATCTTTGTACCTTGGCTATATTTTCTGTAATCTTTATGAGCTTAGTTATATCTTCCTCGTCACTTCTAGAATCATCTTCCATTGGTAACCATTCTTCATTGATATTGTTTAAATTTTCAGTCTTTCCAAGCAGAATTACATTTTCTTCTTTCCTAATGGTACATGTATTTTCATCGCCGTCACCGACTTGATTTAACCAGTCATCATGAACCATTTCAAGAAAACATGAAATGGTATCCCAGATACCTGGAGTAGGTATATCTGAACACGTGGGCAATGGTAGTTCTACTTTAGTTGAACAGTTGGTGTGGGCTTTACATCAGACGAGGCAAAAGATGTTTTTGAAGAAATATTACATACATCCCTTTATTCTGATTTAATCACAATTGTATTTTTACCAACAGGTTCTAATATGATTTGGCTCTTGTCTTCTATAACTTTTACAACGGGATACAGATGGTATGTTACATTTGAATCTGATTTCTGACAATCATTGTCTTGATTTGACGGTTTTGTTGAAAAGGATTCGTGACAATTAGTTGCAGGACTTTGTGGTTGTCTTAGTGACCAGTTTTACCTACGCGTATGGCATCTTATGAAATTATCTTCAGAATCTTTTTCAGCTTCCAATCTTCTCTTTTACTGAGATAACTTCAACATTAATTTGCCCCTGTTCATTTTGCAAATGGCGTTTAATTTGAGATGTTAGGCTTTGCTGGGAAGAAATGTTCAAATAATAGCTCAGTCATGTAACAGAAGCTCACATCGCAGATATGAGTTTTTGATATTTATAAATTTGTTTGCAAAACCTCACACTACACGATATGAGGTTTAAGCATGACGGAAATAATTAATTACAAGTCCACAAATATTTCTATATTCTTTATTACTAAAAATCTATTGGTCATAAAGGTTTAATATTTTAACAGAGTATGCTGATTGGTATAAGCTTTTGATTTATTAAAAAAAAAGGTTTTTTTGAAAAATTAGTCGATGTGAGGTTTTGCGATCCCAGCGACAATATCATAGCTATTGTAGTTTCGTGTATCCCTTGCATCACTGTTCTATAAACAATACAGTACGATTGTCTCGAGTTTAAAATCTACAATAAAACACAACGTGAAGTTCATATGACGTCCATTTAAGTTACCAAGATAATCTTACCAAGTGATCCCCTGACTTCTGTATAACCCAGCGTTGTGCCACACTGGTTATTTGGAGTCGGGCCACAGCCCGGAATATATCTCTTGTAATACAGAAGTTGTAATACATGATGTAGGTTGGCCTGCAATACCTGCCCCCCACCCCCGACAACCCACTCTGTAATAACATAAGACCCTCTCAACATAAACACACCATTCCGCTGTATAAGTTATGTATTTTAGTTATTCATTAGTAGGCCCTATACCTTCATTTAAAGCGAGTTCCTTTTTTTTTTAATTTTTAAATATGAGCACGTAGCAAATAGTTATACTTGTTTTAAAGGAGCTAAGTCGCTAATATTTGGGACCTAGAAATTGACACAAATGGGTTGCAACGCATTCAATAATGTAATATGAATGTATATAAATTGATTTACATTCATTCAATCGTTTCTGTTTTTACTGTAATTTAATTCTGATCAGTTCGGTTCGGCGAAATACGCCAGTATTCTCAATCGAATTTCAATCTCTAGCGTCTGGTTATTCCAGTCTACGCCGATAGTATTTATTGGGCATGCTCTCCAGATAAGAATATTGTCTGCGATATCACTTCGGTGGAAGCGGACGTTAAATAAAGCTATTTCACACACACACACACACACACACACACACAGATAAGAATATAGCGCCACCGTTTGACATGACTTGTAGAATATGCCTAGCCTCGTTTTTCGAGTCCCTTATTACAAATAGCACTGAAACGCATTATGGTACACGATTCATGTACCAATTGTAAAAATGTTTATTTTGTCTTAAATATTGGATATCAGAAGGCCATTTTTTCCCATCACAACATCAATGTTGATTTAAACCGACAAATAAATCGTGTTTTCAATGTCTAAGATTTTGGATGATATTGAGTTAGAGACTTAGCTACTTTAAATTTAGAGTCGGCTTTAAAAATATATAATTTATTTTCTACGCTGACCGCATGCGTTTTGAATTTTACAATCGGCTATTCTCGGTAATGGTACTGTTTGGCTTTTTACTGGTAAGCCGTTTGTTAGGTTGTAAAGGTTATTTGGTTATTTCCGGACACTTACTTTCGTTTGTCCAGACTGTTGGTGAACATTGCATCCATTGCATTACAAGTAAGGGCTGGTAGACTGAGACATGAGATTAAGGTCACATGACTATTTTTGTAAATAAACTAGTTTACAGTTCAGTCAGACGTGAAAGGAGAGGAAACGATATAGGTTAATGAATTTGTAAAGTAAGTAAAAAGGATAGGCCTGATCAAGTCGATTGCCTATATGCACATGAACAAAAGTCACATGAAGCCATGTAGAGGCCAGTCACATGATGTAAGTATAGTTCAGAAATCAGAATAGACATCTGAATATGACTACGTTAGTACGTACATTGATGTAGAAATAGATAATATTGTACATGTACATTTGATGACGGTGGCCATGGACCTTTGCATATTTATTATATTATAAGGTCCATAATGGTATTAACTGTGTAACACCATTCAAGTATTCTACATAATACTGATAATAGTTTATGGATATGTCGGATATGTCAATTTGTGGCATTACCGGTATTCAAAAGAGTGTAACTGTAAGTATAAAAAATGAATTGAGGGTTCTCTAACGTCTCTCACTTCTTGTAATAATAAAAATAGCCTAGTTTATTCACACCTGCCTACATCAGTACATGTACAAGCATGAGTATCATCTGTATGAGTATGGAAGTTACAACAAACATTTCACATTGTGATGCGGAACACTTGTATGTGTGAATAGTTAATTTCGAACAGAGAGCAAAAATTGTCAGTGTCAGATCCAGATTCAGGTAACCGTGAGCAAAGATCACAGTGTTAGAATTAAGTTCTAATCTTCACACATGTAAAATTTTCATGTGGACTTATACATCAAGTCACAATATTTATCCAATTTTGACGAAACATAAACTTAAAGTATAGCTTTATCTCGGTTCCTTTCGATATTGGGATGCATCGGACTGTAACTTTGTGGATTATCGCCTCCGATTGTACCAAAAAATCACATTTTTAACTTGTGGACTCAGAGGTCACAATTTTTATCCGATAGTTATGAAACTTAACATTTATGTTTATAACCCAAAGATCTAAGTTCTTTTCAATATTCGCCTGGATTATGGCCCCTGATTGTACAAATAATTGCGTTTTTAGCTTGTGATTTCTCTTGAGGTCACAATTTTTATCAAATTTTAAAAAAACGTTCAAATATATCACTATTCTACCCTAATGATGACTGAGTTTGAAACTGCCTGACAAAATGGCCGCTCCTCGTAGTTGGATGCAAATAGTGTAAAAGTACATACAGTATGTATGGACGGTCATGGAACCTCTAGAGGTCACAATTTTTATCTGATTTTGATGAAGCTTAAAATGTATGTTTATATCCCAAAGATCTCGGTTTCTTTCGATATACGCGCACAGCAGACCATAACTTCATGGATTAAGGCCTCTGATTGTACGGAGGAATCAAGGTTTTAGCTTGTGGAACCTCTAGAGGTCACAATTTTTTATCCTATTTAAAAAAAGTTTATCACCCTTACTCCATAATGATGGTTGAGTTAGAATTTTATGAAAATCAGACCCAAACTGCCCAACAAAATGGCCACTCTACGTACGCAAATAGTGTAAAAGTATGTAATACATGTACCAAGGTTGTGGTCCCTCTAGAGGTCACAATTTTTATCCGATTTTGATGAAAATTGTAATGTTTGTTTAAATCCCAAAGATTTGGGTTTCTTTCGATACTTGCATGCATCGGAACATAACTTCCTGGATTATGGCCTCTGATTGTACGTAAAATCTTTTTTTTAGCTTGTTCTCTGTCCATCTCTTGCAAAATATGGGCATATCTTGCATGGCAATGCTTTTTTACTTTATTTATTATATTACATGTGTAATAAAGTTGTATTGGCTGAGAGACATGGCGTCTCAGTAAATATGGTGCAGATTCTCTAACACAAAGGTTCTGAGTTTGTTCCCAGTATTGGCCAAGAATATTTGTTAGGATTTTACTGTCCTGTTTTCCCCAGTACAGATGAGAGAGCCTGTAAAGAAAAGTGTCGAGTTGTTCAGGCGGTACAAAGAACCAAGATTCCCTCTATAACATATTACCATTGGCAGCACATGAAAAGATCCCCTGATAGTTGGAAATAGAAATATGAGCAAACTGTCCCTCATACATGCACATGTAGCAACACACATGGGGTACTGTATGCCTGTCTTTATTATTACGATTGGTACAGAAATATGAGACGATAAATCTCCTTTCATGCATTCATTATTTCATGCTGTTCTCTAATTAAGAAAAGAAAATCCAATAATTGGCAGCTCAAGCAGCTAAAATATTCTGGGGGAAATGACAATAACTCAGAGTCATTATTATAACCCAACACAGTCATTGTATACATTTTGTACTACAGCAAAAAAGAAAAATATTTCCACCTATGTCAAACTTCCCATTTTAGCACCAAAGAAGTAAATTATGCATACATGTATGATGTATCTTACACTAGTCCAATACATCAGAATTACAAAAACAACAATTTAATTTTTTAATTTCAAAGAACCAAAGCAATCAAGAAAAAATAACTTTTATTATTTTTTATTTAGGATCCTTTTTCAGACATCTAAGCTTTAACAAAGTGCATTTCTACTCATTAAATATCTCTGCTTTTATTCATATGTTTATTTCTATATTACATGAAATACATATTCTTAAAACCCTATCTATATTCTATATTGATATTTTGATTTTATCCATTGTGTTATGTTATTTTTATCGTAAAGCGCATCTGAACATGTTTATCATAAAAGAGGTGCTATATACATGTAAATGCATGTAATAATAATAACTTCTGAATAGATATAGATTCATTGTAATCAAAGAATAGAACTAATTAGCATTGAATCAGTCAGTTGGATTAAAACACATATGTTAATCTTAAGTGTCAAACAGTCAATTCTAATGGTCTTCAAGTAGTTCACCATTTTATTGTTTTGTTACCTAATATAGAAAAAAGTGTTAGGGTATGGAATATATTTTGTTTTATAGTGTTACAATTACAACAACAGTTTTGGTCACTACTGTTCCTCTCAGTCTCTATTAAATTTATTCTGCTTCCATTTCCATATTGCAAATGTGTTTGACAATCAGAGATGACAATAAGTTAAATTGGTTGGTGTAGGAAATTGTAAAGATTTTAAAAGTATCTTTAGGAAAACATGGCAGCTATTGTTTTCATCTTTTATGACCTTTATGGTTTTTAAATGCTAAACTTTTTATTTTTCAGGTATCTCGAGGGTAAAAGAAAAAAAAAGACACAATTTAAAAGTATAATACATGTACTGGTACCAATCTTGTCATCACTTACAGACAACCGTAAACATATATGTCACAAGAAGACTACATGTAGCTGTGAATTCTCAGGATTAAAGTCTACAGAAGTCTAGATATTTATATCCGGAAAGTCTAAAATGGAGAACTATGAAATTGAGAGAGAACCGCTGGTTCGACCAAAAACCTCCAGAGGACCGCCTGATCGTTATTATAGTGTTTATTTTATATTCATGTTTATGGGAATGGCGTGTCTGTTGCCTTGGAATTTCTTCATTACGGCTAAAGAATATTTTCAGTTCAAACTACGTAACACAAGCCTACCTGCAGATATTAAATATAATGACAAATCTGTCATCACAACAGATCAAGCATTATTTGAGAGTTATCTTTCCATTGTGTCCATGTTGACTAATTTGGTATTTGCCATACTGACAACTATTTTTATACGTAGTATCCCTCTTAAGTTACGTATGGTTGTTTCGTTTATCATTGTTTCTGTGGTATTTATGGGAACGACAGCATTAACCAAAATAGACACAGATGAATGGCAATATACATTTTATGCGTTGACTTTGGCGTCCGCTGCTGTGATTATGGGCTCCACCGCCGTTTCCCAAGGGTCTGTTATGGGACTTTCGTGTATATTTCCAACAATGTATACCCAGGCTAATATGATTGGACAGTCTGTGGGTGGAACTTTTGCAGCTGTTGCTAAAATTTTGTCGATTTCAGGTAATGGTGGTGTCACTGACAGTGCTTTTGGATATTTTCTCACAGCAACCATGGTGACAGTTTTATCACTGGGTGCATATGGCCTCCTTTACAAATTACGATTCTCACGATTCCATTTATCAAATCAAATTGACACATCTCCTCATGTCAACAATGAAATACCCTCGTACAAAGAGATAGTAGGAAATCGTGAATATTTTACCAGTATCTTTAAGAAAACATGGCAGCTATCGTTTTCATGTTTTATGACCTTCATGATATCTTTGAGTTGTTTTCCAGCAATCTGTTCATCTATTCAAGCTGTGCATTATAAACAGGGTGACCCTTGGACTGATACATATTTCTCATCCGTCGTGTGTTTTCTGATGTTCAACGTCGGGGATTGTATCGGGAGACTGTTCACCGGATGGTTTGATCGACCGAGTCCACAGATGAAATACGTTCTTATGTTTTTCTCTATAATCCGCATTGTTTACATCCCGTTATTATTAGCATGTAACATACAGAATGGAACAGAACGTTCTATTCCTATAGTCTTTAATCACGATGCCTATCCCATTGTTTTTATTTTAACTCTTGGAATCTCTAATGGCTATTTGAGTACGCTGTCTCTGATGTTCGCTCCAACACAGGTACCTATAGAACAAGCGGAGGGGGTGGGGGTGTTAATGTCATGTGCATTAACAGTTGGTCTTACTGCTGGATCTCTTCTATCTTTACTCTTATTAAAATTAGTTTGAAATAGAAATTTTATATTTCCTGTTGAAGTGACCTGTCCAAGATTTCCTAGGAAACTACATGTAAATAATAGTACCTTAAATGGCCTGCTTTCAAATCAAAACATTGAGCTGTACAGAAATGATAGCTTGATTTACTTAAAGTGGTTACTTTAAGTTATTTGACTCATTTATGAAACTTCATTCTCAAATTCAATGCGTGACTTGATAATTGTGAAAATCATTTGCGACTTTAACATCAACAGGTATAGGCATGATCCCATTTTCATTAGCCTGGTCCATACATTTTTGTAGACATAGTTATCAAGTCTCTTAAATGTAGTTTTGAATTATTTTCTAAAATATATCTGGGAAAGCTCCTTTAAGATGATTTTGATATGAATGGGCAGGAATTATTTGTAGATAATTTCAGTTGTTAACCTCTCTCTCTCTCTCTCTCTCTCTCTCTCACTCACTCAGTGGGGCTTAATGTCCACTTGATAGATTTACAATGATATTATTATATATCAAGATTACAGGAAGCCACTCATTACAGAAAAAGTAAGTTAATGACATGTGGATCAATCCACATTTAGGCCACCCCTCTGCAGTTGACATTTATTCCATGACACATTAGTTTCTTGTCATATTACTAGCCTACACTGGAGCCAAGTGGCTGAATGAATAAGGCGCCTACTTGCTAACCAGGAGGTTTCAGGTTTACTCCCGGTTTGCCTGAGTGATCAGGATGACAAGTCACTATTCCATGTCAGGCCCTCCATCCTGTACGGCACTGACAAGGTACTTTTTTGGACATCTTGGTTAGTTAATTTCTAGAAAGTGTAAATCTTTCACATGTATTTGTTTATTTTTGAATATTTATTGAATTATTAATGTTTTTGCATGAAAGTCTTCTTCCTTATGCCAATTGTTATAACATAGTTGGTATTAGTTAAACATGTATCATTAGCAAAGTTACTTTAGGTTTTTCCCATTTGATAAATACATGACCTTTATTTTAATTTCACTGACATAACGTTTGAATCTCTATTTCCTTATAAACAGCTGATAAATTTTAAAGTTGCTGGTAACTAGGTTTATAATGTTTCGGTGTTTTATTTGTGATATTGAAACCTGTATATTCAATTCTTTGATTAATCCTAGTCTGTGTGTGGGTGGAGGAAGGAAAATGATCTAAATCATAAAATTTTGTTCTGGATTGATTGTGCTTGGTTTTTATTTTATTATTGAGGTTACAAATTTGAGGTTTTTTTTGGCATTTTTATGATATTCCTGATATTTGTTGAATGAATTGAAATAAATGTGGATATTTGTATAGTTTGTAAATATTTGCTCAACTTTATTAAGTTACTAGCAGGATACCCAGCTTAACCAAGGCTCAATTTCGTCTGGGGTCCAAATCCGTGAGGCCTAAATATCATGCTGGTTAATTGATACCATATGTCTGGGGGTGGATCACAGTGACGAAGCGTGATGGGCGAATACATGCAGACATCTTAGATATTATTTATGTAGGTAGATGATAATTCTGTTGTAAGAATAATAACGTTGTATCCTCAGGGTGTAATCTTGACCTTGTATAAAATCTCTAGTATAATGACAAATTAAACAAGAGCATCGCTAACGCTGCAATATACGTCCACATTCCAGCTTTGATTGATATGGTACTTTTTAAAATGAAGAGAATGAAATATGAAATGCCTGTAATATGATCAGAGGCAAAGAAGGCTAGGCGTCGGGTTTGTTTTGCCAAATTTACAGACAAAATACTAACAAAGTGGGTGTGAGACTGCCCCAGTAGGTCGGGGCAAGCATCAAAATAAATAGTTGCTGTCTTTATGGTATAAGGAATAAATATGCAAAGTTCCAAGATGATCCATTCAGAATTGCAGCCTGTAGACGATAAATACAAAAACTGGGCGTGGCTCTGCCCGTGGGGGTTGGATATGGAAACAATATAAATAGGGACCATATCCTGTTATTGAAATGACAACATCAATAGTTGCCGTCCTTAGGGTATAAGGAATAAGTATACCAAGTTCCAAGATAATCCATTCAAAATTGTGGCCTTTGGGCGTTAAAGGCAAAAATTGGGCGTGGCTCTGTCCCTGGGGGTCGGGGCATTCCCCAAAATCAATAGTTGATGCCCTTAGGCTATAAGGAATACATCTGCCAAGTAAACGATAAACATAAAAATTGGGCGGCCTGTAGGCGACACAAAAGGCACACAAATTTTGGGCGTGGCTCTGTCCCAGGGGGTCGGGCATGCACCAAAAATAATAGAAAACAAGATTATAAGTTAAGAAATGTGGCCTGTAGACGACAAACAAACAAATACTAGAAATGGGCGTGGCTCTGCCCCTGGGGGTCGGGCATGCACCAAAAACAATAGGGATCTTCCTTGGGGTATAAGGAATAAGTATACCAAGTTTGAAGAAAATCCAGTAAGAATTGCGCCCTGTAGGCGACACAAAGACACACGAAAAGAAAATGGGCGTGGCTCTGCCCCTGGGGGTTGGGCATGCACCCCAAACGATAGGGATGTTCCTTAGGGTACAAAGAATGTGTATGCAAAGTTTCAAGATTATTAGTTAAGAAATGTGGCCTGTAGACGACAAACAAACAAATACTAGAAATGGGCGTGGCTCTGCCCCGGGGGGTCGGGCATGCACCAAAAACAATAGGGATCTTCCTTGGGGTATAAGGAATAAGTATACCAAGTTTGAAGAAAATCCATGAAGAATTGCGCCCTGTAGGCGAACCACAGACACACACACACACACACACACACACACACACATACATACATACATACACACACACACACACACAGACAGGGGCGACGGCATAATACGTTCACATTATGAATGTGGACGTATAAAAATGCTATGTTGAGCTAGTAGCAGTGCCAGGACCTTCAAGTAAGGGGTTCGCCCCTAGGAAATTTTCAAACATTTCTTGCAATTGTGACTGTGGACTCTCTAGAGGCCAAAGTTCTTATTTGATTGACTTAAAACTTTGTTTATGTGCATGAGGCATAAAAGCCTATTGATTTTCCGTTAATTACTTACCTACAAAACAATATGTGATAACCTTGTGGACTGCTAAGACGACTTAGCTGGCCAGCTATCCTTTTTTTTAAGAACAAGTCCCCGAAGGTAAAGACCCAATCTTGTTGAAATTAGATTTGATGTTTGGTTTTTGTTCTGTTATTTACACAGTACTGTGTAAAATAAACATCTACATGTAATTTGATCAAGATTTATTGAGGTTTAGTTGTATGGATGGATATAGCTGTCAAATATTTGATATTGTTATGCAAATGTAGTATATTTTGTCAGTTATATTACTGTAGTATTTTTTGTCGGTTATAATACTCCATATTTTTTATCCTTTAATGTCATAGTGTTGTATTTTCATATGAGGTCAAGATAGCCTACTTTCTTAAATGGCAAATTGACACAAACAAAAAAAATCTTATGTTAAACCTGTGAATTATTGTGAACGATTTACCGTAGGAGATTTTTTTAGAACTAATGATCAATATATGAGTGAAATTTGGTTAACCTTCCACCATTCTGTACCAACTGGGCTAATAAACATGGTATGTGTCATATACATGTATTGTGCAATGACTGACATTTTTCCGGGCAATAGTATTTCCGCCAGCTCTTCATAGAATTCTAACTTTTCTAAGGGATCTTTTATGTATACACCAACAGATACACAGGACCTCAATTTTTTTTGCTCCATCTGAACGACTAGAAAAAAAACCTAGGTCCCGTTTATACCATTGGCAGCACATTAAAAGTTCCCCTGACAATTGGAAATAGAAATATGAGCAGACTGTAGTGCTGCTGTTTGGACAAAATTCACATTACAGCACACTGCATACCATATGCCCATCTTCATTAGCCAGGTCGGTTCAGAAAAGTACAACGCTAATCCACTTTTCATATCATATCATTTTTCTAATGCTATGCAGAGACAGTGTTAAGTATGTATTAAAGAGTTTAGAACTCTTCTGTTGTCAAGCTGTTTGCTTTTAAAGTTTTAAACTAATCATTAACTAACTAACAGCACAATGACTTCACATGCCCTGTTCCTAATTGTTTCAGGAGTTAATTATAAAGGTGAAATGTGTTTCTGCTTTTTGTACATAATGTATATTTAAATGTTACCATGGTGATGATATATTTTTACAACTGTGATTGTTTATAATCTTCCTATTTTCTCTTCAAAATTAAATTTCCCTTTTGCAAATATCCTTCAAGTAGAGTTGTTTTGGTTTTGTTTTCTGTGCCCAAAGCTTTGATAGAAACTCAATCATATACCATTGACAGACAAGGAAAGCATGTCCACAAGCCACTTTGTTAAAGAAGGCAAGAACATTATTATGATGTAGTGATAAGTGAAATTCAATAGGACAGAACTCAGTCTTAAAATTTTTGGGGAACAACAGTGTTACCACATAGCTCAATGCATGGCGTACGAAGACTGGCTGAAAAATTCTAAGCCTATCTGTGAAAGACCTATACAGTGTGATTGGGTACACACTTTTGCCAACAATGTTGCAAGGCCTGGATGCCACCCTAAAAAAGTCATTTATAGCTGACATGACATCATCATTACAAAGAAAAGAGCAACCAGCTAGGTCCTTTTACATTTTTGGAAAAAGGTGGAAGTCTGATGGGGCCACATCGGGGCAAAAAATTATCAAGATCTGCTTCAAAACAGCGCAGATTGTCACAGGACGTCAGGAATCTGACACGTTTCTGATCGGCAGTCAGGAGCTTTGGCACCCATCTTGCAGAAACTTTTGTCATTCCTAACTCCTTGGCAATGATGTGCCAACACTGGCAATATAGCGAATTGCTAATTGTCATCAAAATTTTATGCACCCAGGTAATGTTTTCTTAAATGGTTGCTGTTGGTGGCCTTCCAAGATGGGGTCATAGTCAAGGCTCTCTCCACGCCAGGAAGGGGCATCGTCACCTAAAGTGGAGACCATGTCAGTATGTATTTGTGTTGGGGGTTAGTCCTTTCAGTTGCAGGTACCTGATGACTGTCATATAGCCAGTTTTGTCCATTTCTGGTGATTTCAATGGGTAGGTTCACAAGATGGTCTGGTACGAAGACAATAATAACACTACAGCTGCAGTTCTTATGTCTATGATTCATTCAATGATTGTACTTGTTGGTGGCAAAAGTTTGTTTCAACCCAATTGATCTATATTTTTTTTTTTTTTATAAGCAATATTTTATTCAGATTTGTATCTGAATAGGGATTGGGGAACAGGCATAGTCTATATTAAACCCCTTTCCCTATATCCTTTTCAGGCTTAGAACTTTTCAGCCAACTCTTGTATATGTCCATCTTCATTAGTCTGTTTGGTGCACAGAAGTAGGATGTTAAACACCATTTTATTTCAATTTTTTTCTTATGATCAGCAGAAAATTCAAAATTAAAATAAGGTAAAGTCTGAAAGTGTTATAATCACTTGTCAGATCATCTGACAGAAGTAACAACAATATACCCCCAACACAAAATATTGAAATATAAAAAACAAGAAACTGTATTTATAAATTTTTTTTTTTAATTTCCATCCCATAAATATATACATTATTAAAGTAAAAAAAAACAATATGTAATTTCCCTCCTATCAATATATAAATACATTATTAAATTTCCATGTAATATATATATACATACAGAACTAACTACATACATAGATTATAAAAATAACAAGTATATGCAAGAAAGCTAACAAAAACATGGTAACAATAACAAAAATGAATCCTACTGTGTGTGCAGCAAATTCAAGAAAATTGTCCAAGTTGTTAATTTTGTAGAAGCAAAACCTTCTGGCCTACATATTAATAAGAAATTCCTTGAATTGAAAGGAATAAATTTGTAATCTTTGACAGACTATATAGCACTAATAAGAGACCTCATTGAGTTGTGTTAAAAGGCGATATTAAGATGTCAATGATTTTGTGACCAAAAGCGAAATTCTAAGCAGTAAACAAACTGACTTCTACTTGAAGTAACGATGTATTTATTATTTACTTATTTTTGGTAAAATATCAAATTTCTCAGTGCTTAATCTACGTTAAAATGTACTCAGTTTGATTATTTAACATTTAATTAAGAAAACAAAATCAAAATACGAACGCTAGATAATGTCCCGGCATGGATTCAATCGGATTTGGATTCAATTGGATTTAAAACAGACCTATCAATAAATTTCACGGAGAGTAAAATGGTGGCAGGGTTATTACTGGTACATATCGAGTAACATAGATCAATGAAATTTCAATTCTTCACATCTCTGTTGTAACTATTGAACTAAATTAAACTATTTCCCATTAGAGAGTCATCTTTTACAACATCGTAATTTGCAAGTGATTCCCATTGCTTAAAATTGTACATCAGGACTTTTAATTCAGTGTTAACTTATCAATTTGACAAACATTTTATCCAAAAAATGTAAATGCTTATCAGTGACTTTAATAGATATTATAATGTTGTTTTCCTGTACCGGGAAATACTTTATATTATTTTTTGTTTTCAGAAGAGGTTATTTAAAGAATAATAAAATACCAGTGTTAATACATTGTGATATTCATATTATCTAACTTTATACCTTGCTCAATAATATATCTAGAAAAACATTTTGTTGATAAAATGACACATCAACCCTTAATGTTCTGTCATCTATCACTAACTGCAATAATACATAAGATCAAACTTATTCATTACTTTATTTTCACCTACATCAAGGTTTTTAGATTGGATTATTATGGTTACCGGTATATAGAATGAATGGAATGAATGAAATGGAGTTTTATGGGACGTCAGCTCCAACCGGGCCATATTGTGCCAAACATATGGTGACCGGTATGAAGAATGTGAATAGGCCTACCTTTAATACTGGATTTCATTAACATATTAAAAACAACAATAAACAAAATATAACAAAATATGATACAAACATTCAACCTAATTAAAACCAGGTGTTATTTTTGTTCATGTATTCTGGTTGGTCACTTCATTAATACCTAATGGTGACGGCATATTGATACCTTGATCTTGATTCCATAACCAATCCAATGTCTTAATTATCAAAGCCTTTAAAACAGTTTGCAGAATTGTCTTTTTCAGAGGTTTAGATTAATCAGTTCATATGAATCGACCAACCACAATTTGAGCCTGACCAAAGATTTTCAAGTTTTTAAATCGACATGAAGTTGAGTGAAAAATAAGATGGTTGGTAAAACTTTAGTTAGATTGACAAACATTATTTCAAATGAATTGTTTGACATGTCTTTTTATGGCTCATTCACCTTAAGTTTTATAACCATTCATATCATAAATTTATGATTAATATAAGGCAGAAAAAAAAGCAATAAAATGAAAAATATTCAATAATTATACCCAATGAGTGTTATAAAAAAGCCTAATTTTTATGTCGCTTATATTTGAGCAGATATATAAATTTGAAAAAAGGGTGAGGGCATATAATTAGTGATTAACAGGTATTATAGGCCACAGCCCAAAGGAAACTATGCACTCTTTCATACCTGCTGTACCCGGGGACCCTCACCCTACTATCCATCTAAATAGTATGAAATAGTCTGCTAGCTAAAACTGTGACAATGTGAAAATGATATTTAATATAAATCAGATTTATTTACAAGAAACCAATCACATTCAATTGTTAAATAATTTGAAGGCATATTTATAAAGAAACACTCAGAATATAAACTATACTAGACAAATATTAATTAAATAAACCATTGTAAAGCTGACAATATTATTTGATAACAGTTGCTGTAAAAGCTCACAATCCCTCTAGCAATTTAAAAAATAAAACCAATATACATTTTTTCAACTACTTTTTTGAGTATTTTTTTATAATTAATCGTTTATTTTCTTATAAGATTTGTTTGAATGATTACACACTTAAATGGTTAACAAACTTAGTATCATAATTCAATTATAAACTACTGCAGTGAAAACGATTTCAGAGGGGATTTTAGATCAATTCAGTGTAACAACCTTCACCTTCAACTCACATTGACATGTCCTGGACACCCCACAAGATTAATTGGATTTAACAGGACCCAAATCATGCGTTGACTGGAAGATGATGTGACCCTGGCCATGATGCTGCTCAAATATAATAATCTGAAATAAATAAAGAGTAAAGACATTTATTAAATGGCAGGCTATCAAGAAACAAATGAAAAGGGAAAAACCAGATCGTCCAAAGGCAGTCATGTGGCAAGGGCACTAGAATGTTCAAATACCACCCACATGGGCCAATAAAATCTTCAGGATTTTTCATGTCCATTGTAAAGGTTAGTGCATGTGGGTTTAACAAGTAAAGTTTTGTTTAGATGTGACAAAAACTAAGGTTCACTCACATAGGCCTACAGTGTACTCATGTGATAGGACACTGAATTTTTACAGTTCAAATCCCAGCATTGGCAAAAAATGGGCAGAAATAACACAATCTGGGCAAAAAGCTCCTCTACAGCCCTACACAAGTGATCATAGAAATAAATGACAAGAGCACAGTGTGGACTCCACCCGACCGTAAACTCCATTCCTTTCAAAATATGATACCCTTTTTACGACCTTTATGTTATTTAGCAAATTTGATGAGAAAATGTAAATATATTGGCTTGTATAAAAGATAGTTCAGAACTATTATTATTTCTATGAACACATATGCATGAAGATTGCTGTGTGAAATGAGCAGACACTAACATAAACTTCAAATGGTCATAGCAAAAATTTTAAGGTCTTCATGTTATCTACTCACCTCATTTACACCCGATTTAAGAATTGGTCCAGGAACGTATAAAGTTTTCTGGGGACCAATATCCCAATACCTGCCTAAATTAAACCCATTTATAATCACTATTCCTTTCTTCCAACCCTAAAATAATAAATATAAACAGGGAATTATTTTCTCAAATATTTATATGTTGAACCCTCGTGGTTTGCTATTAGGCAAAGATTAGTGTATGGCTTGGGTCAGTACCTATTATTGAAGTAATGAACACAAGCTTTACAACACCTGCCTTTACAGCAGACAATAACGTCATCCAATCTGAGATCGTGAAACAAACACATGAAGGAAAACCAAAGAAAAGCAAACTTACAACATAATGGAAGAACAGAAAAGGAGATTAGAAAGGTTTGGACTACGAAGTGAGGTGGTTCTCGTAGCATAGTCATAGCGGAAAAGATGAGGTTGAACTAGAACAGTTCCAGTAAACTTGACATTGAACGAACCTTGAACCTTGCAACTCAACCATCACAGGTAGATATTTCAGTTGGAAAGCGTAAGACTTGGTATTCGCAATGTTATTTTCTATCAAGGAATCCGATAGGTTTAGAATTGTGTCCTAGACCAATTGAAATTAGTGACGAAAAACATAGAGTATTATGTGAAGGCCTTGAACAGATGTACAGAGTTAAAGCAAGATTGAGCCTCCAAATACACATGGGGCCAGTAAGGCCTCCAACAGTAAAACTCTGTGTATAAAAAAACCCCAACTAATCTCAACACAGCTTTCTACATAGACCTGTTGCTTGCTGTGGCACTAGAAATAATGACTTCAGTTGTACCAGATAAAATGTTGTGCATTAATAAGGTTGTAAATTATATTTTTAACTGTCTTCTCCGATACATCATTCTTCTTCTTGTGGGACTGAATGGCCATTTCCACCTAGTACTTCACAATTTTATATGATTTTATAGTTGTTGGAGCTGTCACATGTAATCTCAAGTATACTTACTCTTTCTACAACACATGGTGTCACTTCCCCATTGTGGTAATTCATATTTCGAGATATTCATAATTAGGAAATGAAATGCGATAAAATGGGGTTTAACATCCTACTGTTCTGCCCCTACTGGGCTAATGAAGACAGGCATACGTCATACAGTGTGCTATGAGGGAAATTTTGTCCGGGCAGCGGCACTATGGCCTACTCTTATGTCGAATTCCAACTGCCAAGGGATATTTTATGTGCACGCCAATGTATACACAGGTCCTCGGTTTTTCATTCCATCCTAACGACTAGACAGCTGTCCTTGTCAGGACCTCCGTTCCGCACCATCAACAGGGGGAAACCACGCCGGAAAATCCTGATGAACTTTCTCGGCCAATGCAGGGATCGAACACGCGACCTCCAGGCTAGCGGGCCAGCATCTTATACCCACTTAGCCACTTATAATTAGGAATCGGTCTTCATTAACCAAGTTGATGCAGAAAAGTAGGCCATTAAACCCAATTTCATCTCACAATGAGGAAGTGAAGTTTTTGGTACCTGATTTTCACTGTACCATATTCATAAGAGTGTCATTCATTGGGTGTAGTCAGTAAGAAAATAAAAACTGTTGTTTTAAGATTATTGATACAGTCAACCTCGCATAACTCAGATTCGTATAAGTCAGATCTTTGCTTAACTCAGATAAAATCGTTTGGACCCTTTCATCCTGCACGTTTTTATTATTAAATTTCTGCGATCAACTCGGATCAAAATGTTCGGTCCATTTGATCTAATTCCGGCTTTTTTCCTTTCCAAAGTCAGATCGGCAGTATGTTCAGAATTTCACTATCAGTTTCGTCTTGATGGTCTAAAACGTGGTTAGGTATTCCATGCATCAGCCTATCTGACTGCTGTACAAGACTACTCGCTCAAAAACGGAAGTTATCTACTCCCACCAAAACGGAAGTTATCTACTCGCACCAAAACGGAAGTTATCTACTTGCAGATACGAACAAAAGCTTGAAAAGTGTCTTTGAATCAATTATTATCCGGCTCTTGCAGTTTATTTCTAATCGAGCTAAGATGAATTTTGGTCTTTGGCTAATTCGGATCTTCGCTTAACTCGGTCAGTCCACTTAGTTCCTACTTATGCGAAGTTTATTGTATGTTGCGAATGCTTGGTAGCTGTTTGTTATAAGTCCCTCCCCAACTAGCTGAACACTTATAAAGGTTATAAAACTGACCATCATATTAAGGAATGTATCTGTTGGTTGACCGTTGATAACCATGCTAGTTTTATAAACAGCTGGACGACTAACTACTCCACCAAATTGTAACCATTTTGTACTTGATGATAACCTGTTTAAATATAATAACATACCAGCGGCTGCTAGGCAGGATACGCCCACATTTTCGAGAGATGGATAGAGAACAAGCTAAAAAGAAAGTGATTTTTCCTACAATCAAGGGCCATAATTCAGGAAATTACAATTCGATATGCGCAAATATTGAAAGGAACCAAGATCTTTGTGTTATAGACTTACATTTCAAGTTTCAACAACATCGGATAAAAATTGTGACCTCCATAGGATTCACAACCTTCATATACCATATTTTTACGCTATTTGAGAACGCTAAAAACGCGATTTTACGTACAATCAGGGGCCATAATTTAGGGAGTTACGGACCGATATGCGCGAATATCAAAAGGAACCGAGATCTTTGGGTTATAAACTTACATTTCAAGTTTCAACAACATTGGATAAAAATTGTGACCTCCATAGGATCCACAACCTTCATATACCATATTTTTATGCTATTTGAGAACGCTAAAAACGCGATTTTACGTACAATCAGGGGCCATAATTTAGGGAGTTACGGACCGATATGCGTGAATATCAAAAGGAACCGAGATCTTTGGGTTATAAACTTACATTTCAAGTTTCAACAAAATCAGATAAAAATTGTGACCTCTATAGGGTCCACAACCTTGATATACCATATTTTTACACTATATGAGAACGAACGGCGGCCATTTTGTCTGTCAATTTTGGGCCGATTTTCACGTAATTCGAACTCAGCCGTCCTTAGGGTGTAACAGTGATATAAAAATACGGTTTTTAAAATCGGATAAAAATTATGACCTCTATAGGGTCCACAAGCTAAAAACGCGATTTTTCGTACAATCAGGGGCCATAATTCAGGAAGTTACTGTCCGATATGCGCGAATATCGAAAGGAACCAAGATCTTTGGGTAATAAACTTATATTTCAAGTTTCAACAAAATCAGATTATAATTGTGACCTCCATAGGGTCCACAACCTTGATATACCATATTTTTATGCTATTTGAGAACGAACGGCGGCCCTTTTGTCTGTCAGTTTTGGGCCGGTTTTCACGAAATTCGAACTCAGCCGTCCTTAGGGTGTAACGGTGATATAATGATACGTTTTTTTAAATCGGATAAAAATTATGACCTCTATAGGGTCCACAAGCTAAAAACGTGATTTTTCGTACAATCAAGGGCCATAATTCAAGAAGTTACGGTCCGATATGCGCGAACATCGAAAGGAACCAAGATCTTTGTGTTATAAACTTACATTTCAAGTTTCAACAAAATCGGATAAAAATTGTGACCTCTATAGGGTCCACATGCTAAAAACGTGATTTTTCGTACAAACAGGGACCATAATCCATGAAGTTTCGATCCGATACATGCCAATATCGAAAGCAGCCGAGATCTTTTGGGGATAAACCTATATTTAAAGTTTCGTAAAAATCGGATAAGAATGGTGACCTGTAGAGTGTCCACAAACAATTGTGGACGGACGTCCGGACATACGGACGTCTGGACGGACAGGGGCGACGACAATATATGTCCACATGAAAATGTGGGCGTATAAAAATATCAGTGAATGCGGTGGGGGTGGGGGGGACCAACAATAAGCATTCACATAAATACTATCACCTTCCTGGTGGGGGGGCGTGGTGGCCGTATGTCTGGACGTCCGGACGGACAGGGGCGACGACAATATATGTCCACATGAAAATGTGGGCGTATAAAAATATCAGTGAATGCGGTGGGGTTTACTACAGGCGTGAGTGCGTGAGTCAAGAAAGTTCCACTGGATTTTTTGACGTGGTTTCTCCTTGTCAGCACTGCAGCACAGAGGACCTGGAAGAGACAGTGTCTAGTCGTTTGGATGGGACGAACAACTTGACAGTTGGGATTCGAAATAAGAACTAGCCATAATGCTGCTGCACAGGAAAAATTTTCCTCAAACACACAGTATGGCATGAGCTTGTCTGGGCTAATGAAGACGGGCATACACCATACAGTGTGCTATGAGGGTGTCAGTTGTGGACAATTAATGAAATTCTCAATTTTATTATACACTGTTGGACTTTCAAATCTTAATGAGATATTTCTGTAGGAAACGACAGGGTAGTACATCAAACAAACCTTTTAATGAAATCTTTATTAAAATCTAAAGGATATATTTTCCAGTCTTTTACAGGAAGTTCATTCAGAGTTACTGTTCCTGACAAGCCTGCAATATGAATAATTATAACCTTAAATTATCTGTTGGCTGAATGAAATAATAAACAGTATTTTTTATTTTATCTTCCACATACTCAGCTAATATTTTCAGCCCAGTTTTCAATATTTGGGTGTAATACATATGGAGCTGACAAGGGAAGTGTGTATTGTGTACAAATTGGTCGTAGTGCACATAAATATCACTTGACTGTTGTAATTTAGAAGATCTCCGTCCACAGTACACATCTTCTTGCACTGCATACATAATCATGCAAATGGAAATAAATAATATGTTAGTCTCAACAAGACCTTAGTAACTCCATTCTATTTCATTCCACTGAACCTAACTTCGCATTGTTTTAATATTTGAGGGAAGATACCCTTCTGTTTGAGAGAGAGAGAGAGAGAGAGAGAGATGGGTTTAACATCCGCTAACATATGGTACAATTTTATCACAATAGAACATCCATGAGATTGGGCAGATGACCCTTATCGAAAACCTTCCCCTTGACTCAATGACAGACCTTATGATCTAAAGCTCTTGTGCTAAGACCACATGACCATCCATTCCCCTATGAATTATGTAATACGAGTATAATACAAATACTAACCTTTTCTCTCTTCATTGAGTAAATTTGATCCTTGAGTGATATAATTAACTCTTCCTAGATTCTCCACCACTATATCTAATACATTTAGACTCTACAGATAAATAAAACATACATTAACACTAACAACTTCTTGATAAAATTTTCTTTATTTCTATGAAATGAAATGGGGTTTAACGTCCACTTTTCTGCACCCACTGGGCTAATGAAGAAAGCCTGAATTCCCACTTTTCATTTGGTTGTCACTATTTTGGAAGTTGCGAGATTTTAATTCCAGAATGTTCAATCGGGTAACATTCATTGAATGGGAGAGTACTCAGTGATTTAAACTGAAACCTGTATTTACCTGTGCTGTAGCTAGTCTGATAGATGCACTATTAGCATTAGGTTCTACAATTCCTACTTCTTCACTATTCAACAATACCTGCAGAATTAAAATAACATTCACATTACATAAACCACAATAAAACATACACAAAGTGTTTAATGTCTTACCTTTCTGCACAGCTGGGTAAAGGAAGATAGGCTTCGGACATGATGCGTGCTGTGAGGAAAATTTTGCATGGACACTAGCTAGCGCTACTCTTATTTTGATTAGCAATACTAGTATCAATGTTAATTGCTATACACGACCTCAGTTTTTTGTGTTATACGAACGACTATTCTCAATGTCCTGCATCACTGATGGAATATTTGTGGCCAACACTATAACCAAATCCAGAACCTTCTGGTTTGTGAGCCAGCATCATACTCTCCGATCCACTGTGGCTCCCATGGATCAAGTGACAATGTTAATAATTTTTCTAATTATACAGTAGAACTTGTATTAAGCAAGCACCCAAGGGAAATTTTAAAATGCTTGCTTAATGGAGGTGCTCTTTGACTAGAGTTATCCAATATTGCCCCAACCCCTACCACAAAAAATAAAGATATAGATTGCATATATTTTTTTATTCATGTAGTATAACAATAACAATACATGTACTTTTTATCGTTAATGTCTTCATTACCTGTCAACCTTTTCGTGCGCTTCTTGTGAGGTGATGAATTATTTTCAAAATCGGTTAGGAGCAGAACAGTAGGACGTTAAACTCCATTTCATTTATTTTCAAAATCGTCTAAAATTTCTGCCTTTCTTTTCAAAATGCCGTGAATTTGAGTATTTCCCACCCCAACTATTTTAGCGATTACACGACCACTTTTACCTTCATTTGATAACTGCATCACTTTGACACGTTCTTCAAGTAGGTGTAAAAACTTTACAAGGCATAGTAATATTAGACATATGGATAAACAATGTCTTATCAATTCAGACCCTTTCTTATATATCATCATTGGCTTGGATATGAATAGAATATTGATTAATGGTTAAAATTATCAGCTTGGGGTGTGAGTAAACTTGTTAATTAGTGATAGTTAGTTCAAGCCAAGCGAGTAAATCGTGTCAAAATTAGTGACAGTTCAGTCTCGTTCGCTCAAGCGAGAACGTGATTCTCCGTGATTCACTATGATGCGCTCGCTTAATGGATGAAATAGCATGATCTGGGGCTAATATAGAAGCCTGTTGCACCCGTTGAACAGGTGCGTGTTTAGTAGGGGTTAAAGTACTTAAAAATCGCTCGGGGGGGATTCTTTGGTGCTCGTTGAAGTAAGTGTTCGCTGATTAGGAGTGCACGCCCGAGCAAGTTCTACTGTAATACCAAAATTATTTTGTTAATATAAATGATTAAGTCATAGATTACCTGAGCTCTGTCCTTAATGGGCAAGGGTAAAACCAGATTACCTCCGCTGTTGATATTCTTCTGATAAACAATAAAACCATATGACTGTCCATAACCTGACTTTAATGTCAACATTTCCATTGGTAAAACATCAGGATTGTTAACACTTTCCTAGATACAATAACAACAACATTGTAAACAGTTTCCTAGATACAATAACAACAACATTGTAAACAGTTTCCAAGACACAATTACAACAACATTGTTAACACTTTACAACAGAAAATAACAGTGAAATAGAGAAATGGGGTTTAATGTCCACTCGACACAATCTAAGTCATTTGAACATACAGTTCAATTTTATTTCAATAATTCGCTTGCACATAGGGGTCTTTAGCTGTGGGAGGAAACCGGAGGACCCGGAGAAAACCCACGATGAAAAAATAACAACACTTAACACTTTCATACAGAAAGTAACAGCTTTATAATCGCTTTCTTACAGGAAACAAAATAACGTCATTGCTAAAACTTTCCTAAAGAAAATAACAACATTATTATTAACTTTCCTAGAGAAAATAGAAATAATGTTAACACTTTCCTACAGAAAACAACAACACTTTCCTGGAGAAAATAACATCATTGTTAACACTTTTCTTGAGAAAATTATAGCATGAAAGTCCAGCTTATTCCCCAAATCTCCCCTAATGTATCTTTAAAGTTGATTCTAGTATCCAGATATATTTGTTTAGAACGTATAAATATGTGAACCATCGCTTTTAATTAAATCTATACCACTGCCTATTGGCTATTTTTACCTCAACAAACTGAAGAACATCGGTCCATGGCAGGTAATTCAAAATCGTCACTTTTCCTGTAATAAATATATATATATGTAATATTAATCCACCAATCAGATTTGAGAGTACTTTTATTATGCATTACTTACAATGATAGTGTGTTGTGTGTGTTTTGTTTTCTAGGCTTTTGCTTATTCATATTTGGTGCAGTTCTCCAATACTTACTATTATATGTAAGTTATAATACTAACCATATGCTGCTTTAGGTATAGATGGTGGAGGCTCCGGCAGATTTGTTATTCCTGCAATTATATGGCCAGCAACATTAATCAATGTACATTTGATAATCAATATATAAATAATGCTGGTATGTGTGTGCTTTATTTAACAAATATAATCATTGCTAATAAAGATGGACACATGCTATGCAGTGTGCCATAAGAGAAATTTTGAATTTCAACTGTCAAGGGTTCTCTTATTCCAATGTGTAATCAGGACCTACATTTGAAAACAGACATACTTTCATATCTGATATCATTAAAATATATATAAATTTAATCTTGAAATACCACATAATATAATTATATGTTTTAATGTATACAAAGATAATTGTTGTGGAACAAGGAAATGCAACTGTTCTGCTTCAACTGGGCCAATGCCATACAGTGTGTGTTATGAGGGAAATTTTGATCGGAACAATGCTACTGCCTCCTCATATATCTAATTCTAACTGCCAAGGGTTCTTTTACGTACATGCCAATGTGTTCACAGGACCTCAGTTTTTTGTCCCATCCAAATGACTATGTTGTCCCTTTCCAGGCCCTCTGTCCTGCACCACTGACAAGGTTGAACCAGGCTGGAAAATCCAGATAAATTTTCTCGCCTAACTCCAGGATCAAACACAGGATCTCCAGGTTAACGAGCCAACATCTTACACACCAACCCAACACAGTTTCCTATTTTGGAAAAGCAATTTATTTACAATAAAACGGATAATAAAAGCAGCACAGCCAGCTAGATCTGTGAGGTCGTTGATTACGTCATTGTTGATGCAATTGTCATGTTTAGTGGACAATGAACTTAATCCTTCGGGCGATTAATTAAAGATGACATGTCAGCTCAATTAGTTGAATCTAACTATAAGCAGAGATTCAGCTTGTGAATAGTTTCAATACCCCAGACAAATTCTCTAGCTGTGGTTAGATAATATTACCTTGTGGCTTTAATACATATTGTAATATTAACTCTCTTGTTTTAATATATTTAGGAGTTACGTCCCCTGCTTCTGATATCGGAGCGTCGTAATCTGAAGATAAGAGAATAAAAACCAGAAATAATACAACTACTGTTTTGTGAGAATCTGACAAGGATCAGAATTTATATAGAAGCCTAATCTCTATTCTCTGGAACCTAAAATAGATGAAAATGGATGAGTTTTACATCATTTAAATATTCATCAGCCAATAAGAGGTTCCATTTCAAAACATTTCAGCAGTTAATAAGTTATGGAATACTTGAGAACACATTCCATTGACGTGTTGCTTGTCTTCCACAGTTGTCACATGCACAAATAATGCATGAAATAAAAATTTCTGGAGAAAATTTTTAATACATCTCCTGCTAATGCTTTTGATTTAGGCATTAATCATCCACAATCACCATCCCCGATCAAGTATCATTCATGATTAATATCCACAAATGCTGAATGGCTGTAGCAATTATACAAAAAGTCTCAATTGCTTTTTCAAATGCCTTAATTGCCATAGCAACAAAAATGACAAGGAGAGGATTATTGTAATGACAATATAATGCAGTGCATTATATACTCTTACAATATGTGACTTCTATGACTAGTTTATACATATTGTCGGCTCACATCAATGCGATTAAAATGTCCGACAATGCAGAAACCACGAGGTTAACACGAAGATTAAAATTATAATCGACTGATGAATAGTCCGACAAAGGGGAAACAATGGCGTCTGTTTAAGATTAGATTGATGAATTGTTCGACAAAGGATTAAGTCAGTCAATCAAGGCAGATTAAGTAGTTAATCAAGGTAGGTTTAGAGACCATATAACACGATAAATATGTTGATCACTTAATTACCTAATCAATCCAGCGTATTATCGACGATAATCTGGTTGAGTGGTAGTTATACACTCAGTAAACTATATTAATTTCGGAATTTTGAATATTATTCAACATGCCTTGATGTTCGATTGGGCATATTCCCGGTCGGACAATTTTGGGCGTTTGGAAAAAAGATTTGGACAAGTCCGGAATATACTGGCAAAATCCCATCACTGTAATGCACCCATATCAAAATGTGGTTAAAAACAAAGTCAAGGGTATCATTTTAAGTGTAAAAACTTACTTCCTCAGAGAACACAATTACTGGCCATGATCTTGTTTTTAACCACTAGTAACTACTGGTGTCACTGTATCATGTTTATTATTACTTGGATCTCATCAATATATATGTTATTCAAATGGTTTTGGATTCCTCTCTCTATATATCTATTTGGATTCACATCAAAATGTGGGCATATATAAAAACTTACCATAACTTGTGACATCAGCTTTATAAGAGCCAAAATTATTGGCACCAGCCATAAAACCAAAGTTTGTTCCACCATGATACATATAGAAGTTGATATTTATATTTTCTTTTAATAAACTACTAACAATGTTACCATGAACTGAAATACAGCAATAAAGGAAAAGATAGTATCGCCAAGCAACAAATATATATGCCCAACAGCTGCATCAGATGGTTGTCAGGGGAAATAACTATGTATAAAATTGATAGACAATTTGGAGTTTCAATACTAAGATTATACAAATTACAAACCCTCTACTACTAAACATCTCAACAATTCAAGCTTTTGTTGTCAATATATATCTTTGACATGTATTTCTCATCAATTTACATCTCTATTCTTTGTCTTTTGTAACAAAAAAATATATGATACAGAATGAAACCGGGTACCAGGTCTAACCACCACACCAAGTCACAGGCTGAATATGTGACCCCTCCTTGTTGAGTCTTGACACATTTCATATTTCTTTAGTTGCTTACTGATGACGATAATCTTTATTGGGTAGTAATAGTAACATAGAATTGTCTAGTCTAATTACAACAAGATCAGTCCAATTATACAATCTTATATCGTGTACAAAACAGAATAAATATTCCCAACAATAATACCCATTTCTTACACTCAACGGTTTCTGTATGATGTTCTGTACCCCAATGGTCAAACCATCCACTCCAATATTCCATTACCATTAATGGGTAATCAGGACTCCACTCTTTAATATCTTTAAAACTAGTGTCCGTCATTTCTTTAAAATTAACGGTTGGTAGCGCCACTAGAAAACAACATGGACAATAATCAGTAAATATAAAATTTAACTTTCCGACCACTATTAACTGCAGGTTAACGCGCTTTCACCACAAACTAGGTCATTTTAGGATTAACAAATACTTGAATAATTAGTTTGTGTATAGGGGTCTTTAGTAGTTGGAGGAAACCGGAGGACCTGGAGAAAACCGATGACATTGTGCTAGGGACCCAACAGCTACAAGCCTGGGATTGAAACAATGTCATTTGACTCAAAGAACAGACCTTATGATCTAAAGTGCACAGGTTATACTATTCTGCCATCTGACTATCATTTTCTCTCCTCTTCTGTTTATCTTGATGCTATTTAATATCTTCGCCTCGTCCATATTGGGGAATCATGGAATGGGGTTTAACGTTGCGTCACCATACTACTTTGGTTAATTTGAGTCTAACAAATGATGTTTTTATTTTTTAATTTCAATGAATACACGTGCAATGTCAGGGGGAGAATTTACCCTAGTCAGCAGAATTTTAGCGTATTCTTTATCAACTTACAACTGCCCAAGGTTTCTTTTATATGTACACAAGTTTGTACACACTATCCTTCTCAGTCTCCCCTGACAAGTGAAAATTGGGTTAGAAAATCTTGCTAACAAGAATTATAAATTAAGGTTTTGAAACATTAACGCTGTCACATCACAATCTGCAGTGTGTACATACCATGGTAAAATGGTGCTTGACTCTGCCCTTGTTCATTATCAGATGTGACCAGTAGTTCTTGGATACCATAGTGACGCAGAGTCTAAAACGCAATAATTAAAAAATTAAACTATGAAACTCTTTGAACTTTGTGCCAGATATATTTTAAAAATATCATAATTAATAATGTTTTAATCATGTAAGTATGAAGTTTTAACAATATAGAAGTCAATGTAGAGGCCACAATACAACAGCTTATTGAAATGTTCATCATGTTTAATTCGGTCAAGGACAGTCCCTCATGTATCGCCCATCATCGCAGGGTAGACCACTAAGGTCTCGTGTTAAGCCCCATGTGTAAATTAAAATTTTTGGATTCAGGATTAATTATTATTGAGATAAAAGACTAACTTCAGCTATGAACTTTAAATGTTCAACTTCTCTACTGTAAGAACCAAATTCATTCTCCACTTGTACAGCTATAATAGGTCCACCTTTCGAATACTGAAACATAAATACATGTAAATTGTTCTAAATAATGGTTTTAAATTGAATATATTGAGAAAATAGATTCTATTTCATGAGTACACCTCAGATGATATTGTACATGTTATGTTGTGTGTCAGATCGACAGGACCACAGGATTTATCCATTAATATTTGAATGAATTGACAGGCCAGTTGTAGGTCTATTATTTTGTACACAACTATACACGGTAAATGGTATAAAATAAACTGGACATTTTCTTTGGAACCTTCCCCTTTGTCAATTAAAATAAAATGGGGTTTAACATCCTACTTTTCTGCACTAACAGGACTAATGATTTATAAGAAATAAAATGGGGTTAAACATGTTATTTTTCTTTACCAACCAGACTGAAGGAGGCAGATATTTACCATACAGTGCACATTTCCATCTACTTTTATTTTAATTTTCAATTGTCGGGTGATCTTTATCATGTTCTGAATGGTATACACAATATCTCACTATATTTCTAACTGAAAACGAGAATCCAGGCTTGAAAATCCTGAGGACCTTTCTAGGCCACCACCGAGATTAAACCCTGAACCTTGTGTTTAGCGAGCCAGTCCCATAACCACCAATTCAAGCTACTATGGCTCTCCGCTGGCTGCCAACTAAACAATATAAAATTGCTAGGGAAAGAGTCATTTTGGTATATTCCTAAGAATAACCTTTGCGCAAACTAATCAGAAATTGTATTTAAATAATCCTTGGCGTGCATCTTAATTAGAAAGATAATCATTTTTTTTTTATCAATTCCATGATAATTAGCTCCCACTACTGAGTGTAAATTACCTGTAGGTCTTCCACCATTGGAAGCAATTTTCCAAAAAATCTTTTAACAGCAGCTTGATATGGTCCATAAGTTGATCGAACTTTCATAGCAGGATCTTTCAATAACCAGCTATATAAATAAAACATAAATCTTTCATCATATATGAAGGATTAAAACAGTCGGCTGAACTAACCAAAACACTACTTTTCAGCCTAGATAGAAAGACATGTGACTGTCTGCAGTACTAAAGGCTTATTTCAGAGGGGCATCCAATCAAAGAGTGTACTTAAAATTAAGTTTTTGAAATTTGAAATTATTGTTGTCAACATATTTTGTATAACAAATTTATTTCGGAGTACTAGGCCTTATACTTAGTCATATTAGAGGCATACAATCCAGGAGTTGTTTTCGAGCATCACCAAACCTCTGCATGACACTGCTTATTAATCAAATTAAGGTCTTTCGTTTTTCCATCTCAATCAAGCCCGTCAGAGCTGCAAGGAAGTGATGCAGTGTAAACATCCTGAACATTCATGTACTTTTGTGGTGTTTATACTTCAGACTTTTCTTGTGATATAATCTTTTCTTGTAATATTCTTTAGCAAATAACCCAAACTGAACAACAAACTGCGTGTTTCATTCAACCGCTTTTTTCAATATCAAATTTTCTACTCTATATAGTATTCTTTGAAGGGTGGGGTGGGGACAAAAAACCCAATCTGAACATCAAACAAAGACAAAATTAGAAGCAAAAATTTCAGAGATGAATAATGCTATACTGCTTATTTTGTCCCAATGAAATGTTCATCATCACTTGTTTAGAATATATATTATTACCTGGGCATTCCACCGAAATCCCACTCAGAGCAAATAAATGGACCTGGTCGGAAAATCACATACAATCCTATTTCTTGTGCTAATTCTATGTATTTCCTAGAAAAAAAAATCAAAACATGTTTTTATCTATGTTCTATTAAAAGGGCTTTGCTGGTCAAGGGGTCAGGTCAATAAACACTTGATTAGAATAACCAGGTGTCGATTCCATTCTTGAGCCAAGACGAATCTTCATGATTTTATAAGCACTGGCCATCACTTTATTCAGGGGTAGCGTTTTTGAGGCCCAAAAAGAAAGTGTGCCTTGTCCTTCGGATTGGGAGACAAAATATGGTCCACATGTGTACACATTGGGAGTTAGAAATTGAAGAACAGTACATTAAAACGCTACTGTCTCGGCAAACTTCTCCAACCTTGAACTGCATACCTAATCATAGGAATATACATGTATGTAACCATGTTTTTGTATTAAAATGGCAATAGAGACATTCAAAAAATCTTTTTTCATTCAACTTAAGAATTATTCAGCAGACAATCCTATTTTTCAGGGGAGTCATGGTGGCTAAGAGGGTAAGACGCTGGTTCACTAGCCTGGAGGTCGGGTGTTCGATCCCTGCATTGGCCGAGAAAGTTCATCCAGATTTTCAGGCGTGGTTCCCCCTTGTCAGTGATGCAGGAAAGAGGGCCTGACAAGTACATCTGTCTAGTCGTTCGAATGGGATGAAAAACTGAGATCCCATGTACACATTTGCATGCACGTAAAAGATCCTTTGACAGTTGGAATTCGATATAAGAGTAGGCCGTAGTGCCGCTGTCCAGGCAAAATTTCCCTCAAAGCAAACTGTATGACGTATGCCCGTCTTCATTAGCCCAGTTCAGAGCTAAACTCCAATTCATTTCCCTATTTTTCACATAAACCTATGCACTCAACCCCACCCAGACCGAGCATAAATTTCAGATTTGAATGTAATAACTAACTGAACTAAAACATATCTGACTGACTAAGACTGTGAATTAAGAGCCCTAATCTAATACCCTAAAATAGAAATCAAGTTTTATACCTGAGATTCAATATTCCCTCAAAATCAAACATGCCTGGTAGCGGCTCATGTACATTCCATGAAACATATCTGAAAATATAAAAAACATAAATATCTGGCAAGACGTAGTAGGAAAAAAATGGGACATATCAAAAAAGGAAGTGGCAGTAATATGGGTCAGTGGTAAATGAGCAAGCCATACTCACCAAGTCACAGACTAATCTACTAATGCTAGCTCGTCATGATTTAATTATGAAATGGGATCTTACTTTTCTGTAATAACTGGGCTATGAGGGAAATGTTGCCCAGACAGCAGCATTATCATCTACTCTTCACCGAAATCAACCTATCAAGCGTTCTTTTACGTGCACACCAACATATGTGACCTTGTTCTTTTTATCCCATCCAAACGACTAGTTGTTCCTTCTCAGGCCCTTCACACTGCAGTACTGATATGAGGGAATTATGCTGGAAAATCCTGAGGTATGTTCTCAGCCAACACAAGGATCAACCCCAGGACCTCCTGATTAGTGAGCAAGCAAATAATTGTGGCTTGTATAGACTTATTACTACTGAAAGCAAAATATATATCATACTTCTTCTTCTATTAATGTTTAATGTCCGCTTCCATCAAGTGTGATATCAAAGACAAGTTGCCTTAGTGCACACACAGGGGTCTTTGATGTGGCAGAAAATAGGAGTATCCGGAGTAAACCCACAAGTAAAGTCAAACCATGACTCGAAAACCAAAACCGCAAGCCAAAGGTGACTGGGCAACTAGAGCTCATAGCGTGACACACTAGACCACTAGGCCATCCCAACACCTGATATATCATACTCACGTTTCTAAAGTATTTAGACCACCGGCCTTCATCTTTAACATTCGATCTTTCCAATATTCCGGCACAACACGAAAATAATGCATAGCGCCACTTATAATCCATAATGGTTTACCATCCAATATAAAACGTCTGTTTTTAAAATGGAGTCCTTGACTACCGGTATGTATACCTTGGCTACCATCTATGATTGGTTTTGGTTCAGCCATATTTATGCTGTGACTGTAATAAAATCGTCGATATACAAACCATAATATGATAAAACCAATAACGACACCAAGTTTAGTTCTCGCAGATAATTTGCGATACATTATTCTTAAAGTTCTCAATGAAAAAAGTTCAGAGTTATTATGCCCCTTTACCATCATTTCTGTTACAGAAACCTGAAAAATAGAAGGATTTCACATTGTTTTTCATTTCAATCAAAATGTAAAGAGGTATTGTTATTAATTAACAAGAAAACATTTTGTAATTCATTTTGAACAAGATCACTTTTATTTCACCTAATTATCAAAAATACAGAGTCAAAGGGAGAGAAATGGAGTAATCAAGAGGTCTGGGGGTTGATCCTGGTGTTGGCCAAGAAAGTTCCCTGAGATTTTCCAGCATGATTTCAGCACGATAAAAAAACACTGGGTATAAAAGGCTCCACTGACAAAACAGGCTGTAGTAGTCAAGAAGTCAGGGTAGAATGTCAACTTAAATGTCCCAGGTTTGAATCCTGGCATGGGCCAAGAAGATCCTTTGGATTTTTCAAACCTGTTTCTCACTTGTCAATGACAGCACCTGCAGGGTTGACAAGGAAAGTGCAGTGTGTCTAGTTGTTCAGATGGTATGAGAAACCAGGGTTCACCCATATATTCACTACACACTGAGGTTGAGGTGCACATGAAAGAACCCCTGACGGTTGGAATTTAAGAAAGAGGATATGGAATCGCCACTGTCTGGGAAAATTTCTCCTTCCTAGCACTGCACACATGACCATAGAAAATATACACTGTATGTCAGTCTCAAAATCACTGAAATATTGTTTTGGCAAGATGTTAAACTTCATTCCTATCTTATCCTATCCATTGATACCATGGTTACATATATACCTTGACAAACCTACCTCATGATGAATTTTATTGTTAGTAGACATGCCACAAGGCTATTATAGATATGTATATAATAACATTCTAGATCAGTTAATATTTCATCTATTATAAACTATGAATAGACCTCTATATTCACCTGAAGTTGAATATCTATTCATCTAAAGGTAAAGCAACCCAGCGAACATAGATTATGTCTATAAATATTAGTAAGTGCAGAGAGACCGCACTACACCCTAACAATACACATGGGTATTAATATTAACATCCACTTGACACAAACTAGATCATTGTGGGTCTATGATTCAATTTTATTTCAATAAAAGGGGTCTTTCTCAGTGGAGGGAAACCAGAAGACCCAAACTAGGTCATTTCAGGACTAACATGATTCAATTTTAATTCAATAAAAGGGGTCTTTAGCAGTGAAGGGAAACCAGAGGACCTGGAGAAAACACCCAAAGTTGGACAGGCGAACCTACTTCAAGTACAAACTGGGAATTGAAACCACCTGATCACTTGACTCACAGATACAGATCACTACTCTTCTTGTTTCATCATTATGTTTCCACACAGACACAAAATGAATTTCTGTCACCAAATTTACCAGTTGAAGTTTCAGTGATACCACCACACCTGTAGCCAGCTGGCTGGGAGCAAGGCCCCCCTCCCCTCCCTAAAATGTTCACTGCCCCCTCGGCAGTGGATACCACTAAGACATAGCTAATAAGTATTCTATCTTTTTAGGATTGTTTACTTTAATACTTTGCAAATACTAGTGTTCAAACGTGGAAACCGAATTATGATGGATTTTTCCTTCTTTATGACCAACAATATTAGAGAGAGAGAGAGAGAGAGAGAGAGGGAAATGGGGTTTAACCTCCACTCTACACAAACTAGGTCGTTTCGGGACTAACGTATGGTTTAATTTTATTTCAATAATTTGCTTGCGTGTAGGGGTCTTTAGCAGTGGGAGGAAACTGGAGGACCTGGAGAAAACCCATGAGGTGGACAGGTGACCCTACTACCTGTCACGTACAAACAGGGAATCAAAACCACGCAAGTTGACTCAATGACAGGCCTTATGATATAAAGCGCACATGCTAACCATTCGGCCATCCACCCCCTCACCCCTGATTCAAAGGATAATTCTGATTATCAAGTAACATTTTTCTGGCATGATCAGCTTTTTGCACTTGATCAAACATATTGCATTTGATTGTTCAACACTGTTTGCATGCAATGATGATGTGCATATATATATATATGCAGTAACAGAGCATACAAACAGATGAGGTGATGTCAATCTTTTTCTACCTCACATAGCACAATTAAATATGTTAGTCTCAAAATGTGTCTATATTTTAGAGTTGATTTGAACAAATCTGAATAGAACAAATAGAAGAAAAGGGAGAGTGTTATCAGTTACATGCATAACATTTATTATGCATTTTCACTACAGCTACTATTTGTAATTTTTATTGTGCATTAGAAGATATGCATAATCTGACACACGTAGGCTGTGGTTTGCCACTGGGTACTTCTGTTAATTGGCGATATTCACTACATAGTTTATTTAGCTAACAACAGATTTATTCACATTTGAATTTGTATTTATATGCCAGCTTTGATTCTATTTTCTAAAAATATGATTATAGTATGTGCAGTATGTCCTGTCTGAGACTCTTGTTGCATTGTTTTTAGGTGATGTGTTTTATCTTCTTGCTTCTAAAGATGTTCATTCCATCATGGACCTTATATACAAACAGGACCGTAACTAGCTCAGAGCAAGGGGGGGGGGGGGGCGGAAAGTGTTCTTTGGGGTGCTATAAAATTGTCAGACAATGTATATCTAGGGGGGTTACGCGGTGTGTAGGGGTTCTCTCCCCACTGGCTTCGAGAAAAATTTTCAAAATTGGACTGCCGGAAACACTATTTCCTGCACTCTGGGCAGCCTCATCAATCGATGACGATGATTAATCATTGCAGCTATTATTGCATTAGTAAGTATATGTATGGTATTGGTAATGTATTTAGCTGTAGCCTACAGAAAAAATCTAAAAATCAATTAATAAGCTGTCATCTTTAAAAAATTATATCGTTTTCAGTTTTACTCACCACAAGTCTAAATATATATCTGTTTAAATCAAACTGGTAAAACTGTTCTTTAGTATCTTAAAAAAGTTCAAAAAACAACACTTGCAAACCTGCACAGACATAACAAGTGATAAAATGAAAGTAGCTAAAGGGAAATAACTTTAATAAATACTCCTGGGATCAGACCACCTAATAATATATTCGGTAGACTATTAGAGTCAATCTGTTTTACAGACGTAATGTGACATCCGTCTTTTATCTCTGTCCAAGATGACTGACCTTTAAAAGGTCAGACCGCTGTAGTTCTAAGGGTGACGTCACATCACGATGTTTACCAACAAAGCAAGATGGCGTCGATAACGCCAAAAAAGATTACTTCTGTGGCTTGTTTTTGTTGTTTTAAAACAAACACGAGCAGGCCAATCAGATTAGACGGTAAAAAATGTACTTCTGAAAGAATTCAGAGTAAACAAACAGAAAAAAACGTCAAATTGATGGTGTGATGGTCATACGTGCGGTGTTTACATCGAACGTAGTAATATGAACTGGTACGGGCAAAATTATATCGTTTTACCCATTTTACGCCTCCGCGTACTATTTTCTGTACCTATTTACGCTAAATATGTAATATTTTTTTATCAAGATATACTTCAAACACCTTTATTTATTTTTCTAATACTAAAAAAAAATGTTTCAGAATTTAATTTGTCGAAAGAAAAAAGTTAATATTTTGTAGTCATTAAGTCGCATCGATGTCATCCTTATCAGTGATTGTAGCGGCCAAGCGAATATTCACTGCGGATCAGTGTGTATTAGAGTAGAGAGAGAGAGAGAGAGAGAGAAATGGGGTTTAACGTCCACTCGACACAAACTAGGTCATTTCGGGACTAACATATGGTTTAATTTTATTTCAATAATTCGCTTGCGCGTAGGGGTCTTAAGCAGTGGGAGGAAACCGGAGGACCCGGAGAAAACCCACGAGGTTATTAGAGTAGAGATACAATTATTACAATACGACATCGCAAGAACTGTCTAACTTGGTCTCGCGTTCAGCCAATAAAAAACATGTTTTAATTTGGCAATAACGGTTTTCGCCCAATTAAGACTTATCAAAAGAAGATAGATCAGCAATATATCCAAGTCGGAACGAAATAAAGATCTAATTTCGTATTTAGCCAATAACAACGTTTTGGCAATAATATTTTAGCCAGTCAAAGTGGCCAAAATCAGACCTCAAAGAGATTAGATCACTAGTAAAGAAATGGCTAGATCAACAATATCCAAGTCGGAATAAAATAAAGATCTAATCTCAAGTAGTTTGTAGATTTATTTTATTTGAAGAGTTCTGTGTAGTCTCTTTTAAAAGCTCGCCATGTGAGAATACAAGCAGTCAATATCAATCTAAATTAAAAATTCGTACATATTTTGACTAGAGATATCTGTGAACAATCTGATCGTAATTGTGCCTCAACAAGCTTGGAAGTGAGACAATAATTGGGCAGGTATATATAACTCTTCAAAAAAAGTAGGGGATATTGAAATGCAAATACCTATGCAGGTTGTGATATGTTAAATAGTCATGGACACTTGACATGCTTTGAGAGTATGTTCACAGATGAAGAACTTATCGCCCCAACATAACCACTGAGCTGCATGTGGGACACGCAATAGCGCCATACATGTAGAAGGGGTTCATTGTCAAATTTGACACTTCAAGGAAGGGTTGATGAAAACTGCCGCTTGCCGGTTTATCCTATCCATGTTTGCTTTCCTATCGGTTCTTGCATAAGATTTACTGTTTAGCGTATCATTGCTTTAGTGTGTCACATTAAATTTGATCGAGAGACGTGTTCGTCGACGTCAACGTCAACGGACAACACTGCTAGAGGAGTGGGTCAGATTGCCCCAAATCCTGATTGGACGGTTGATTAGGAGCATGCCACGACGAATTGCTGAATGTCCGAGGATTGGCGGAGCAATTACTCATTATTAAGACAAAAATCAAAAACGTCCATTTTCACTTTTGACAGTGTATCTCTTTGCGAGTGAAATGGGGCCGTCAGATAAGCCGCCCATATGAACTGTTTATGTTCATGTGTAGGCAATTGGCCTGTTATTAACATACACTGGTTACCTCTAATATATTTGTCTTATATTCTCTCTCTTTTTTTTCTCTACCTCCCTATGGTTAGTGGGCCAGTGCCTTACTCATTGACTGAGACCGTGGATCCCGCTGTAAAGAGATGATATGTTGTCTATGTACGGTACGTCAATGATACAACAGTTTTTAACTCGATCGATACATGACCATTAATATCAGCGTAATGGGATACCTGGCAGTTACTTAGTATACTAATAAATCATCGTAGTATTTATAGTGACTTTGTGGCGGACTTACATTTTTGGGGCCCTGAACTTGAAACGTAATGACTACCTTCGCAACCAGCAAAAAAATTGATAAAACACTGTTAATAAACGCTCCACTCGCCACATTCAATGGTGTCTTAATTTCGAAGTCCTTATTCTACCTGAACCATTTCCAGGACAATCGGCCCAAAACAGTAGCTCTTCGCCCTAAAACTCCCCTTGTCTGTAGTAATTGTTCAGCCACTATTTCTACACATATGTACTATAAAGTCGCCTCTGCATACCCTTGAAGGTACGGAGGAATAAGGAGCACGCAGGCTATAATCCAAGAATATACTTAAGCTTCAATATTTATGGTAAATTTACAGCCAGTAACGACAAATTGCACAAACTGATAATGCCCCACTCCCCACTCCTCCGCCAAGTGTGTTTAGACTTTACATCTAGGGGTAGTTTTCGGCCAATTAAAATTTTTTGATAGGGATTTAAAGCAAACTGTTGATAGATTAAAAACTAGTTTTTAGTCCAAATTTATCACCATCTCAAACAGGATGAACGCGGGAATGCATCTTTAAGCTTCAATAGTTTCATGGCTTGTTCGCCCGTGATATACCCGATATGTATACATTTGCACGAATTAACAATGACATATACATGCATATAACACGCTATAACGAGACATGTACGTATTAGTAACAGGTTTAAACGTTCATGTATGTATTCACTCCTTTTCTTAAATTTGTATCGTGATTATTATTTGATTCGAGGTTGTAGTCAGAAATGTCTTTCTAATGGACAAAATATGGGTAGTTATTAAGATGGAGATGTGACACGCATTTGACATGTATAATACACGCAAAGACAAAAAGATACATCGGACTTTGCTCGGGACGTGTACTGCTTGATCATGTACTGCTGTTTATTTGTCTATATTAGCTCGCTAACCTGGGGGCCCCGTGTTTGATCCCGGTGTGACAGTGTGAGATGGTTCCTGGTGTGTGTTGGTCGAAAAGGTTAAGCGGAATTTTCCCGCGATGTCCCTCCTTGTCAGTGATGTAGGACAGAGAACCTGATGTAGGACAGAGAACCTGGCAAGGAACAACGTATAGTCGTTCGAATGGGACGGAAAATCGAGGACCCGTGTACACATTGGTTAGCACGTAAATTATAAATCTTGGAATTCGAAATAAGAGTATTAGGCCGTAGCGCCGGGGTACGGGCAAAATGTTCCCCATAGCACGCTGTTTGCCCATCTTCATTAGCCGGGCCCAGTCGGAACAGAACAATAGGACGTTAAACCCCATTTCATTTAATCGTCTATATCAAGACTTTTTGGTTGTTCGTCAGCAAAATGTCTACTTATATAATATCTGTTATAGGCCTATCTCCTACCCTTTCATCAAAATGTTTAATGACTTTTACTTTTTGTATTTGTTGGGTTCATTGAATGGCCTTTGTATCCAGTTTCTTTAAAATGCACCTATTACTTGTATATTTTACGCCGAATGTATTATTTACACTATTTTTAAATATTAACACAAAACTGGTCAAGTCGAACCCATTAATTCTACCTTAAAATTTATTTTATGTTTCAATCATCTGTTCTCAATCTATAACTTAGTATGAGTGCAAATCATTCTTTTCTTCGAATAGATATATTTACATAAAGTGTTTTGTAAGATAAAGAAAAATGTCAATAAGTACATCAAGACCATTCGCTGATAAATAAACTAATACACTTACCTGTCAGTATTTATCAAACCACCCCACCCCCCCAAAAAAAACCCAGAAACAAATATATAAGTCTGAAAGAGTGCCCTTCATTGAAAAATTTCAAGAAAGCTCTAAAAACTTATATTTTTCAAAGAATATTCTGTAAATAACAGTATTAAGTGTTTAGTTCATTTATTTCTATCATTTATGTGTGTGTATATTATTGTTCATGTACAGCGGCGAGTCCTTGTAAAATATATAGCCTTAAAAATACCTTATAATTAATAGTTATAACGATACATGATCGTAGCAGCATGAAACTATGACAAATCAGAATATTATAATCTACTTTTGTGGGAGGAAACATATATTAACCGATTTATTTGCCCGCCTTGTTTTATTGATAATTCTGCCCCGTTTGTAAAAAAATTAATAGTTTCCAGCACGCGATGTGAGGCAATGGGTTTTTTCCACAAAACGTTTCATCAGAATAGAGTTGTCTCCCTTTATAGCACTATTCAATACATGAACTAGATTTCGTCAGTCAGCTGAGACGGGTAAATGTCACGGATTAGGCTTGAGTATTTAAACGTAAAATCAACCACATGCGTTGTTAAACATGTGACTACAATGATAAGGAACGCTTCCTGTAACAAAAAGGTAATTTATTTTTTTCTTTCTGTTAACATTTTCATTGGTTTTCATTCAAGATACAGGCTAAATGCAAAGTTGGTTATCATCATTCATTGACATTTTATTGAAAATAACTGTCAGGAATATACATGTACTAATAGCAATCCCAGACATGTAATACTCAGTAGCGGATTATCAGTGAGGCTGATGAGGCTGCAGCCTCAGGCCCAAAGATTTTGTAAAAAAATTTTTTTTAGACTTGTCTGATACGATTAAAAACGCATAGACAATGAATGTTATGGGGGTTGGGTTTAGGCCCAACGGGAATCAACATAGGCCCTGACCCGAAATTAATTAGGCCCACGCCATTTTAAATAGGCCCTATTTAAAAACTAAATAGGCCCTCCAGCAACTGCCGCCTCAGGCCTTGGTGGAGCTTAATCCGCCACTGGTAATACTTAATAGTATTTTATCATGATCGAGTCTCCTCAGGTCTAGATCCCAGCACGCAGCAGATAATCAGTTGGTTTTATAGTACATTATAAGACTCCTCAGGTCTAGATCCCAGCAGATAATTATTTGGTTTTATAGTACATATTGTACGTGATTATGGTAAATCTCCTCTGGTCTAAACCCTATAGCATAATCAGAAAGTTGCTGGTGAGTGTATATTTATATTGTCTGGTGTAGCTTTTCAGCGTGGAGATTCCACACCACAATCTTCAGAGGTTCTCAACAAATTTTTGGATCCGTTATATAAAGGTGAATAAAGACAAATAGTTTATGGTTAAACTTTTTATTCCAACAAGAATTAATATGCTTTAGAATGAAGCAAATTAGATGAAATAATTAACCAGGTTAAAAAGTGGTGGACATAATGATGTGATTATTATCATAGATGCCGACTAGGTGTATATCAGGTGTTCCACTATCTAGTGTAGGTGCACTTCAGATGCTAACGATGGGTATTCTTTTGAGGTACAATCTGTCTCTGTCTTGGATATATGATCAGTGCTACTAGGTGCACAATCAGTGCTAACTAGGTGTACTTTTGGTATTAAGTAGGTATACGATCAGTGCTAATTAGGTTCACGATCGGTGCTACTATGGGTGCACCTGGGGTACAAACTGAAATAACGTAGGTGCACGATTGGCGCTAACTATATGCTTCCTATGGGTGCCCTTGGGGTGCAAACTGGAATAATCTATCTCTGTTATAGGTGCACAATCGGTTCAAATTAGGTATATGATCAGTGCTACCTATAGTATTTCTGGTATGAAGTATGTATACAATCGGTGCTAACTAGGTGCACTTCAGGTGCTTACTATGGGTGATCTCGGGGGAATAAACTGGAATAATCTATCTCTGTCACTATCAACCATTATCGGACCAAACTCGGTACTAAAACATGGTTCAATTTTATTTCAATGATTCGCTGATGCGTAGTGTTTTTAGCAGTGGGAGGAAACCGGAGGACCCTTGTCACATACATGTACAACCGAGGAATCAAAACTACTCCAGTTGACTGAATGACAGACTTATGACACAGCGCACACATGCTAACCATTCGGCCACACCATACCACCACCCCTCGCCCCCCACCTCCACCACATGATAGGTAGGTAGTTACAAGAAGATTCCCGTTTTGAAAAGGAGGGATACTCAAAACTTATTGGACACTTCAGTGACAATTAACTCGCATATTTGTATTTGGCAGAACACAATTTTTATGGAAATAATCACTGGTTTTGTTATATAAGCACAAAATTTTGACAAGTATCCTCTTATAGTTATCAAGCACAATATTCTGTTTATGTGTTTCTCTTTTGCTAAATGACACTTGAAGATTAATAATAATTATAGGTATGCTTATTGTTATTATATAGCTCTATTAAATCCACTATATTATGCTATGAAATCCTTCACAAAAAGTTAAACTGAGGCTATCCACATATTTTATCACAGGTCTTATTGAATAGAAGACAAAAAACAATATCTGTTGAAATACATATAGAGGAGATTATACTGCCGTGGAAATAAATGTATCTTTAAATCTTAGAATGTTATGAACCATATTAGAGTTCAATCTGTATCTATACAATTTGTATCTACAATCTGTATATATTGGTACAAAAAGGGGGAGCCATTTGGGCCAATAAATATTGAGGAAGAAAAGGCACATAAAATTGTTACACTTTGGGGTCTTTAAGTCAGGTTCTTGATGACAACACTGGTTTAACTTCATATGATACTTTTATTGTTCTTCAAGTTCAAACATATCCTGTGTTGAGGGAGTCATTATCCTATAGTTTGCCTTGACACCCTTGGGTGCCAACTCCCAACTAACTTACACGGCCCTTGTTCTAGCCAGAACCCATGGCCTTCTCCCCTACTATCTCTTTTTGTCCCCCGCCTTTCGAAGAAAGCAGGGGACTATTAAAATGGGTTCGTCCGTCTGTCTGTCTGTCTGTCTGTCTGTCCGTCTGTCTGTCCTTCTGTCTGTCCGTCTGTCTGTCCGTCACACTTTTTGGGACACAATAACTCTCTTCCTAATTGAGCTAGAATGTTCAAACTTGGTGTATGTGTTTATTAGGTCAATGCCTTGATGGAGTTCGAAGATGAGCATTTTCCGCTTAGGGTAAGCAGAGATAAGCAATTTGATTGGTTGATGCTTTGGGACACGATAACTCTCTTCCTAATTGGGCTAGAATATTCAAACTTGGTGTATGTGTTGATTAGGTCAATGCCTTGATGGAGTTCGAAGATGAGCATTTTCCGCTTAGGGTAAGCAGAGATAAGCAATTTGATTGGTTGATGCTTTGGGACACGATAACTTTTAATTGAGCTAGAATGTTCAAACTTGGTGTATGTGTTTATTAGGTCAATGCCTTGATGGAGTTCGAAGATGAGCATTTTCCGCTTAGGGTAAGCAGAGATAAGCAATTTGATTGGTTGATACTTTGGGGCACGATAACTCTCTTCCTAATTGAGCTAGAATGTTCAAACTTGGTGTATGTGTTGAGTAGGTCAATGCCTTGATGGAGTTCGAAGATGAGCATTTTCCGCTTAGGGTAAGCAGAGATAAGCAATTTGATTGGTTGATGCTTTGGGACACGATAACTTTAGTTCTAATTAAGTGAGATTGATGAAACTTGGTGTATAGATTTATTATATGAATACCTTAACTAAGTTTGATAATGAACATTTTTTGCTGAGGGTAAGCAGAGTGATAAGCAATTTGATTGGTAGAAACTTTGGAACACAATAACTCTCCTTCTAATTGAGGTAGAATGTTCAAACTTGGCATAGGTGTCTATTAGGTGAATGTTTAAACTTGATGTATATGTAGATGTTCATTAGGTGAATGTCTTGACTGAGTTCAATAATTAACATTTCGAGCTGAAGCTAAGCAGAGCTAATCGATTTCATTTGTCGATGGTTTGGGACAAGATAATCTTGATTCTATCTGATAGAGAGTGATGAAACTTAGTGAAAAAAATAAATGTGCGATTAATTAATATGTGTCATCTATTTATTTTGCAATTTCGGCGGGGGACATCAGCCTCACTGTTGGCTTGTTCATTCCTGCTAATAAACCCTTTCTAGACAAAGGATGACAGAAGAGATTTTACAGCTAGCTATATTGCATGCGATCTGGACAACCATGGATGTCAATAGCCGCAATAAAGATATTTTAATCAATTCTCCTTTCATGTGTCAAGATGGCACGATAACTATCAATAACATCTGCCATTATGTAATCCTTATACTATGAGGAAGGATATGGTCACCAGTTTATAAAAAAAAAAAAAATATTTCATCTATGAATGAGGAAGGATAGTTTTCTACTTTGGTGTGAGGAAGTATATTTTCTGACTTCGTTGTGAGATGAGAAAGAAAAGAAAAGTTTGGGTCACAGGGGCAGGAATTTGAGGAAGAACAGAAAGGATATTGAGAAAATTAGGTACATTGTGAAATAATATACACCCCTGTGTCCGGGGCACAATTCCCATCGCCCATGACAGGTTAATCATTTTGTATGAAAGCTGTTTTTTCGCATTCCATGATTATTTAAAGCATTTTAGTCCCAGTCTGCACAATAATAATAGCCAAAATAACGAACATAACTTCAGTTGCAACTAAGCAAGCGACAGTGTTTCCGGTAATAGCCACATTTCTTTATAAGCTTGATTTTCATTTGTCAAAATATCATACTCTGGTTATTACAGGGGTCTCTCTTCCAATGAAAATCCTTATAAAACAAAGCATGGATGATTCTTTTTTGTCTGCTTCTAGTCCTACGTAAAGATACCTTCCTGCATACAAACATAGTGATTTGATGATATTTTTGGACTAAAAACATATTCAATCTAATTAATCTATCAAAAATTTGCTTCAAATCCCTCTCATAACATTGTATCACAAGGAAATACCCCAAGATATAAAAAATCTATAAAAATAAGTCATGTTTGTGTCAAGTGACTTGGCTGTCACAGTAACTATAGCAATGGGTATGAAGCCGGAGGAGAATTCATCGCATATAAAAGACGATGTTATCCCCTGTCTATGTTTTTTTCTGTGGTTTATATGTCAGAAACTGTTGTATGTGTAAGTCTCTCACTTTTCTGTCCACGTCCACTCACTATCTATTTTATCAACATATAAACTTAATCATCGGACTGTCAAAATAGTGACACCCTCTCTTTTTTTTTCTGTGCATGGTCCAATGAATCCAGTATTTTTCTAGTAAGATTTGGTGTCTCTATTTTCAATACATACCAAAATTGCGATACTTTTATTGAAAATAACCACCCAATAAATGCTTTTGTGGGAAAGTATCTTTAAAGACCGATAAATGGAGTAATATCATTTGCTCCAAAATATAACTAAACGAGTAAGAACACCGGTATCGTCCCTTGCTTCATTTCAAAATAAATATTGAGACAGTATTGGAACATTTGGATGTTTAAATATTTGACTTAGTTATTAATTTTATGTTTAGTCATTGAAATAAATTAAAACAAAC